AGTTCAGGTGAAAGATAAGGATGAACTATGAAAGTTGCTAAGAGAGAAAATCCTAAAAAGTCATTTTCTCAAGGAAAAAAATGTCTGTAACAACATATGGTGATGGTTATTAACTAGACTCTTTGGGGATCATTTTGTAATTTGGGGTTAGGGCTAGGGTGGAGCTTCCCAGGTGAATCCGTGGTAGAGAATCCACCTGCCAATGCAGGAGATGCAAGAGATGTAGGTTGGATCCCTGGGTGCCAAACATCAAGCAGGCTGCCCCAGCCCTGCCCCGACCCCAAGACCAGCTCCTCCCACCTCGTTTCCCTCGCCACACTCAGGTCACAGGACCTGGCCTGGGGTGGTGGTCTCCTGCCCCCAGGAACCATCACCCTGGCTCTGACCAACATACCAAGTCTTATGAGACCGCTGACAATCCTCGCAGGAGACAGTGACTGGGAAGCCAGGGCGGGAAAATTGGAAATAGGAGCCTGAGGTCATTTTCCTGTCTCTGTTCATCCATTTCTCCAACATGTCTCTTGTACAGACCCAGCTCGCCCTTACCTCGCTGTGTTTCTAGAGAGGCTTTGGGAAGCTCCTGGTGCCTAAGAGTTGCGGGTTCATGTACTTAAAGTCTGGGTGGGGTGGCGCCGGAGCATATTCAAATTCCTTAATGAACATCAACCAATCAGAGTAGAGCTTGGGGGTGTGGTCTTAGCGGCCCCCGATGCACCAGATGTTATTTCTCAGCTGCTGGACCTTGGGAAAGGAAGGCGTGAGGCTCAGGCAGGAACCGTTTGCTCACCAGCATGGAAGTCCTTCGATATTTCCAGTGATACGGCCATTTCAGTCTGTGCCGGTACCAGCGCTGCCTGCAGCAGCCGCCACCACAGCCTTTTTGCCAAACCTCTGCCTTCAGCCTCTCCAAGGGTTCCGCTGCCGCCTTTTCCCGCCCCCAAGAGAAAAGTTGTCCTTGCATCGTTCTTGACCCTTTAAGGCTGCCCTTGAAAAATAGTGCAGTTATTGAACTAGGATTCACAAAGGCTTCTCTCTACCTGTGCGGCCTGGTTCAAGTCCACTCATCTTTCTAAGTCTTGTTTTCTCATCTGTAAAATGGGCTAACATCCATGCTTCCACCCTGCCAGGTGGTGATGTGTATCCAATATCCATATTCATGTAGAAGGGCTTTATGAACAACTTCTCAGACATCACTCTTTTATTCTGATGATGCCCGTAGGAAAATGCTAAGGAGGACGAAATGTGGTATATCCTCTTTCCATTCCTCTTGGAAGGATGTTGCCCTCATCTCTGAGGAACAGCAGAGTCCTCAGCCCAGTACAAAGCATAGCCCTGCCCATCCTGCAGGTAGGAGGGAGAGTAACCTGAGGATCCAGCATCATTCAGAGCAATTATACCACTATCACCACCAATCAGGAAGGGCTTCTTGAAGGAGAAAACAAGCCAGAGACAGGGCTTGCCAAGGGGCATGAGAGGCAGGAAGAATGGTACAGCTTGGGAAAGGGCACTTCTGTCCCCCCACCTACCCCCAGGACCAGCTTAAGAACTCAAATCTTGGCTCCATCCCACTTTCCCAAGGCATGACCTTGGTAGTTACTTAACCTCAGAGTCTCTGTTTCTCAGGAGTAAAGTTGTAAGTCAGTCCTAAGTCATGTCCAACTCTTTTGCAACCCCATGGACTGTAACCCGCCAGGCCTCTCTGTCCATGGGATTCTCCAGGCAAGAATACTGGGATGGGCTGCCATTTCCTTCTCCAAGGGATCTTCCCAGCCCAGGGATCGAACCCGAGTCTCCTGCATTGGCAGGTGGGTTCTTTACCAGTGAGCCACCAGGGAAGTCCTGGGAGTAATGTAGGAGCAAAAAAATCTGCTTCGTAGGGTGGTGAAGATGAAGTAAGATAAAATTCTAAAGCACTTAGCTTGGTACCTGGCATACAACAGGTGCTCAATAAAGGAGAGCTCTTAATGAAAGTTTCCACACTCCAGGCCACCCTGCAAAAGCTGAAGGCAGAGGAGTATATCCAACAGAAGAGGGAGCTCTTGGCCCTCTATCGCGACCGAGATGGGGAGTCCCCAGGCACCAGGCCCTCCACGCCTTCCCAGGAGGGCTCTCAAAACACCAAGGAGGGCAGGTAAGAACAACAGTGAGCACAAGTTCTCCCAGGGTAGGGGGGCTGCAGGCTGGGAGGAAAGGAAAGGGAACCTGTGAGGCTAGGAATGACAACTTTGGCTGGTGGGGGGTGGGTGGGACCTGATTGAGGAACCCAGGCTATAGTTTGGCACCAGGCCTGTAAAGGACCACCTTTGGGTTAGCCAGCCTTGGGTGGGCACAGGGTAAAAGAAACAGACAGGAGAGGTGCAAACTCCCTGAGAGGAATAGGCTCCCCAGGCCAGGGGTTTTGCAGAATGTCAGGGCTATAGGAACCCGGCTAGTTCAAATCTGGACGGATAATGTGAGAGCTTCATCCAAAATAACACAGTTGCTGAGCATCTGGTTTATTACAGAGAAAAAAAAAGACTCCATCCATGGAGGGGGTGGGGAACTCAGCAGAGCTCAGGAAAGAATACTTGATAACAAGTTTCTGGACCTGAATGTAGGGGCTAAAATGCCTTAAAGGAACTTGTGGTCTAGCCAGTGAGATGAGAAAAACAATCAATGGAGTGCAAAAAGTAAGACCAAAATAAGTTTGAAGGAGGGGCCATTTCTGGATGGAGGGGTCGAGGGAGATTCCCTGGATTTGAACTTGACCCCTCAGCATCTGACTCTGACCATTTGCTATTAACTTTAGGACTTGCGAGTCCTCGACTGTCATCCCGCACCTGGTGGTGACAGAAGACACAGATGAAGATGCCCCCTCGGTACCAGATGACACCTCGGACTCTGGCTATGGCACTCTCATCCCAGGCTCTCCCAAAGAGTCCCACTCCCCGCTGAGCCGTCTACGCTTGAGGGCCCTTCGGCGGGACCCTCGCCTCACCTTCTCCACCCTGGAACTCCGAGATGTCCCTCTGCGTCCCCAGCCTTCTGACCCCCAGGCTCCCCAACGCCGAAGCGCCCCTGCACTGCCTGAGGAAGGTGTCCGGAAAGCAGGCAGTCTTCCCAGGGTAGACCCACCAACCTCGTCTGAGGAAGAAGACCAGACGTCAGTGGGCGAGAATGTGGTGGTGGAAACCTTGCAGAGGGCCCAACTTCGGGGGCAGCTGTCCTCCTCCCCAACCCACGCTGACTCTTCTGAGGAAAGCCCCTGGGAGTCCTCAGGGGATGAAGAAGAAGAGGGGTATCCCTCCCAGGGACCTGACTACACCCCCTCCCCTCACCCCCTCCGGCCCGAGGACATGCTCCGAGAGATCCGCGAGGAACTGGCCATTCAAAGGATCGAGGGCGTCCCTGAGCCTGGGGACAGCAGGCCTCGGAAGCTGACTCGGGTCCAACTGCAGAGGATGCGAGGGTCTCATGTCGTACACCTGGACACACCCCTGACCACGTCGTAAGTGCAGAAAGGAAGCTAGCTTGGGTCGGAGTGGAGGGAAAGGCCAGTGTGGAACCAGCGGGGATGCAAGAGGTGGTGGTCGGTAGTGGACGGGGGTGGAGGGTGAGATGGGTCAACATAGGAGAGCTTCCCAGAACTGGGGCTCAGCAGTAAAGAATCCACCTGCCAGTGCAGGAGACATGAGTTTGATCCCTGGGTCAGGAAGATCCCCTATGGAAGGAAATGGCAACCCACTCCAGTATTCTTGCCTGGAAAATTCCATGGACAGAGGAGCCTGGTGGGCTATAGTCCATGAGGTCACAAAGAGTCGGACATGACCTAGACATGACTTAGCCACTGCACAAAGGCAAAAAATAAAGGAGAGCAGGAATGGGGGTGGTGGTGTCATGGCAGGGAGGAGCCTTTAGCCTCACTCTTCACCCATGTCTACCTGACACCTGCTTCTTTCCCTTTCAGAGAGGCGTGAGGATCACAAAAGACCCTTAGCATTTCTCCAGGAGGAAATCTCTTCCGATGAGTGCTGGTCACCACCTCTACCCTGGGACTCTACCTCAAGGACATTTCCCCAGGCATCCTGCCCCTCCTGCTCAGAGGACTTTGGGGATCAAGAACTGTACATTTATGTATCACAGATACCCGGAAGCCCCACATAAAATTGTGCATGAAAACCACCGTCCAAGCAGCACTAGATGAGAGCAGAGCAAAGAGAACCTGGGGTGGGAGCCAGGGGCGGTTGTAACAGACAGCACACGTGACTCCATCTGTGCCCCACCAGGATCAGGGCTCTGGCCTCCTCCCCCCGCCTCCCGCAATAGCATCATCACTCAGAAAAACCACTCCCTCCAGGGCAGAGCTTTAATTGGAGGATTTTAGTGTATTTACAGAAGTCCACAGCTCCCTTGGGAGGCCCCATTGTTCTGTGCTCACCCCCTGCCTAGGGACAGTTCAGCTGGTCCAGGCAGGGGGACAAAGTTTCTATTAGTGTACAGAATGGATGAGTGGATGTGCAGAGTGGATACAAACATGGCTTATCTACTGCGAAACCGGCTCAGGGACGAACGTAGGTTCCCCAAGTTGCCTTGCTGGGTTCTCCAAGTCCAAAAAAACAGGCAATGAGGCAGGGCGCCCCTCATTTTCGCAACCACTGCCATGGGCTCTGGGCACACTCGGCCTCTCTCACGAGTACACACACTCCACATCACACAGACGCACATACAGAGACACAGACACACGTACTGCACGCAGACAGACGCTACACGGAGACACACACATACTACACACAGCTGACCCGCCAGCAGTGCTCAGGCAGCCGAGAAAAGCTATGTACACTGAGGGAGTAGCACCAGGTCAGTGGCTGCCAGATCGTGCCTGCTCCTACAAGACTCTTCCTCTCCAGAAAAAAAAACCAGGAGGTCCAGAGGGCATCTCGCAGGTCCTTCCGGGCTGCCTGGCGCAGGAAGGAAGCAGCCGTCCGCAGGGCGGGGCGGCCCGCAGTCGGAGGGGTGGGGCCTCACCGGAGAAGGCGGGGCTCGGACGCAAGGAGGGCGGGGCCGCCCAGCGCCTCCTCGATGTTTTCCAGGCAGCCCAGCAGGTCCATGTCCCTGAGCACGCGGCCCAGCAGCTCCAGCGTGGCCTCGCGCCGCGGCGTGCGCCGCCGCCAGGCCGCCAGCATGCTGTACTGCGCCTCGCGCAGGTGGCGCCCGTTCTCCATCTCCAGCCGCTCGATCTCGTGCTCGCTCAGTCCCAGCCTCCGCACCAACTCCTTCCAGCGCGACGGGGGCACGCCGTCCACCACCGCGTACAGGGTCGCGGGGTCGGCTGCAGGGAGGCAGTGCGGTGAGCCTGGAGCGGCAGCCCTCCGGCCCAGTCCCCCACCGCGCTCGCGACACAGGGCGCCCCGCCCACCCGCCTCCTCGGCCGGGGTTCCCAGAGAGGATGAATGAGGAACTCACCATCCGCGAGCTGATCGGGGGCACTCGGGGCGCTGGCTTCCCACTTCTGAACTGGGGTGCAGAGGTGGGTGGAGGCCGGAGGCCCCGGGAGAATCGGGCCAGCCTTTAGATGGGGCGGGGCCATTTCGCTGGAGGGAGATGTGACGACTCTGAAGCTGGACCGGTCACAGGGGATGTAAGGGGGAATGGAGACAGGACTGGAACTTGGGGTGGAGTTGAAGCAGATGGTGGTGGTGGGGTTGAAGCCTGGGGCCGGGGCCAGGAGTTCTGGCTCCCCCTGAGGAAGGGACAGCACAGCATTAGCACAAGAGGAAAAACAGCCTCTTGTGTTTTATGGATTATGGATGGGAGCCGGGCTAGAGGGAATCAGGGGAGACCTAGGGCGAGGGGTTGATTCTGGGTGCTTTGAGTGTTACAAGGTAATAGTGGACAGTCAGGGAAGACTGGGGGTCATTCCCCGGTTTCATCTTACCTCTTTTACCAGAGTCGACTGCCCGCAAACTGAGAAAAAAAGAAACAGAGCGTCACAAATTTCACTTCCTCTCTCAGCCCCAGCGCCCATCGCAGGACTGGTGGTGGGCCCTTGTGGTGACACGCTTCAGGGCCTATGTGACCCCAGGGACGAGAAAATCACTGATGCAGTGCGAGCTCTCACCAGTCATCCCAGACCAGCTCGGGCCAGTGCGGTCCTCAGCAGGGAACTAAGAGGACACCCTTCGTCTCCTTCATGCCTGTGCACCCCACCCTCCCTTATTCCCTTGCCCTCCCAAAGTCCCCACTCACTGATGGAGTAGAGCTTGGGCTTCCACCGCTGGTAGCGGCATGCTAAAACGACAGAGGCGAAGGATGCCAGGCAAAGCCCGAAGACAATCACCAGGGGTAATAGTACTGTAGTGCCTGGAGACGGAGCAGAACGTGGTCAGAGGCCTGGGCAGTACAGGATGGATGGGGGCGGGGGCAAGACCAGGAAAGGGCCCCTGGGCTTGGTTGGGCACTAGGATAGTTCTCCTCACCTGGGTCCTGAGAGTCTTTACCAGTTGAAGGTCGGGTTGGACATAATTTCTCGCATTCCTTGTTCTTACACCTAAAAATAGAGACAGTGCTGGTGAGTAGAGGCCCCGCATTAAGAGGAATAAAGGGGGAAAAAAATAGAAAGACCCATACAGATTGTTGGAAATTCTGCCCTTTACAAATATTTAGCTATCTTGTGATAGAATGGAAATTAATCCTATCTTGGCAACTGATGCAGAGGAAGGGAAAAAAAAATTAGCTGATCCCAGAATCATTTCATTTTAGAGCTGGATTTGATCTTGAAGAGACTGTGTAGAGAAAGAGTTAAAAGCAGTCAGTGTGTGCGTGCTCAGTCATATCTGACTCTGTGACCTCGTGGACTGTAGCCCGCTAGGCTCCTCTGTCCATGGGATTTCCCAGGCAAGAATACTAGAGTGGATTGCCATTTCCTTCTCTAGATGATCTTCCTGACCCAGGATTGAATGAGCATCTCCTGTGTCTCCTGCATTGGCAGCGAATTCTTTACCACTGAGCCACCAATCAGAGTCAGAGTCACTAGACTGGTTGTGTGACTACAGGCACATCACTTCACCTGTAAGCCTCAGTTTTTTCATCAGTAAAACAGGGATCCTACTTGGACTAAGGATTAAGTAAAATAATTATGCCTGACATATAGTAAATACTTGATACATGCTGACTGTCATTGAAATGTTTTTTTGTTGTTTGTTTTTAAATATTTGGCTGCACTGGGTCTTAGTTGTGGCATGTGGGATCTAAGTTCCACGACCAGGGAACCCAGACTCCCTGCATTGGGAGAGGAGACTCTTAGCCACTGGACCACCAGGGAAGTCCTTTGAATTATTTTATCCTTGTTTTACTGATGAGAATCCAGTGGCAGAGAGATGAAAGAACTTTTTCTCTAGATGACACTGCTGATGACAGCACCTGACTTTGAGAGGGGGGTCTAGCACACATGTGAACCATTGAAAAACACATCTTGCTGGGGGAAGCCAGAGACTAGAACAAGCACGTCTTCCCATGTTGGGAGCTGGCACCAGGGAGCACGCAAGGATGAGAACTACATCAGGGGTTCTGGAAGGAACTTGAGGAGGTGAGTTCTCTGCAGGAATCTGCACACAAGGAGAGCTGATTTTGCCCAACTCACAAGCTCACGGGGAAAGGGTGTAAAAGTGATTTAAGAAAAAGAGACTAGTGGGAAAAAGAAACTAATTTCTCATCAGACACTTTGTAGTTATGTTTTGTGGTTTTTACAACTTTGCCAACCTGATGTCATTATCCTTACTTTAAAGGTAAAGAAGAACTAAGGCTCAGAGATGTTAAGTCACTTGCTTAAGCTCGCACAGCCAATATGTGGCTAGCCTGAGGTTTAAACCCAGGGCAGTTCAACTGCAGAGCCCTCAGAGTTTCCTCTTTGGAAGCAAGTGTGCAAAGCGAGGAGTGAGGAGGCGTGGTCAAAGGACCAGGAAGGAAAGACCATGCTGCATCAAGCCTAACAGTCAAAGGCATCATTATTTACATCCTACACACAGCTTCCACCTGTGCCATCAACTCTTGTTAAGATGCATTCTGATTTCAGAGATGTAAACGTGTATTCCTAGAATCAATAGCAGAGTCTGTCACCCAAGAATCTGAATGTCCTCAGAAAAAGATCTGAATGTCTAAAAGGAACTGCAAGTCCTTGGGAGTATGAGCCTCTATTCCTCAGACTTCGTAAGATTTCTGAACAAGTTGGGGGCAGGGAAGACTGGCAGGCATCTCGACATGAAGTGTCTCCCATACTAAACAGCCAGTATCATGCTTCCCTTGTGGTCCAGTGGTTAACAATCTGCCTGCCAATGCAGGGGACATGGATTCGATCCCTGGGTCCGGAAGATCCCACATGCCTCAAGGCAGCTATACCTATGCGCTACAATGACTGAGCCCCGGCTCTCAGAGCCGTGACTCTTTAGCCCATGTGCCACAACTTCAGAAGCTCGAGTGCCCTAGAGCCTGTGCTCTGTGACAAGAGAAGCCACCATAATGAGAAGTCCGTGCACCCCAACTAGAGGGTAGGTAGCCCCTGCTCTCCTCAATGAGAGAAAGCCCTCTCGCAGCCAATAAATAAATAAAAATTAAAAAAAAAAAAAGCATCCCGTAGGAGCAAAAGCACCCCCTAGAACCTCTCCATCCTCCCACCCCAATCCAGTGCCCAGCAGCTGGCGGGAGGACTCACTCATGACAGGAGATGCACTTGGCGCCTTTTAGAAAGAAGCCCATATGGCAGTGGCAGATGGTGTCCTGTCTCTCCTGGCCTGTGGGGAGACAAGCCGCACAGCTGAAAGAGGACGCCCCTCACCCTGAGGGCAAGAGGGAGAGCCGGGAGGGGCAGGGGTGCAGCAAGGCGGAGACCCTTCTCTGGAGATGGAGATGGGGCGAGGAGCAGGGTTGGGAGAGCCATGCTCACAGGGGATGTTCACTGTGCCGTTGGGACAGAGACTGCAGTTCAGACACCGGAAGCCAGTTTCACCCCAGTATTCCCGGTACTGGTTCTTCCTGCAGCCACACACGGTGTCCCGGTCCACTGTACAAGGGGAAATCTCCACCTGGAACATTTCTGGTAAGGGGAAGAGATGGGGTATGAGCCCCCACGCTCCTCATCTGGTGTGTCTCTCTGTGTAACACACGCTCACAGCCATGTACTCAGTCACTTGTGCACAAGCGTCCCTGCCCACCCCCAGCAGCACACACCTGTCCCGTCCCCTAGAGACAGACTGCACACCCCTCCGAACACCCACCTGACCCAGTCTGTTCAGAGACCCGCGCCCTCCTGAGACTCACCATCCCGGCACCTGGAGCAGCTCAGGCATCGTCTGAGGTGGTTCTCCAAGGCAGTGTAGGTGCCAGAGGCACATACCCTGCAGTCCGTGTCTAGCCCCGGGCCCGGACAGTCATTGTACAGATAGGTACCTGTGATTTGGGGGTTGGAATTAGGCTGCATCCAGGAGCTCAAGGGAGGAGCCCCAGGCCTGGGACGATGGCCTGGGCACCTCCCCCAAATCCCTAGGAGAGGAAAGGAGGGAGAAAGCCCCAGACCAGGAAAGGCAACCAAGCCAGGTTCTAAAACATCTGGAAAATGCAAAGGAAGAAGCAGGACCTCCTGACTGAGGAGTTCCACGGGGATCTCTTTCTCCTACCTTTGTGGCACTTGGTGCAGCAAATGGTGCTATTTTGAGGGTGGTTATATTTTCCTTGGGGACAGGAACTCTCTTTCTTCTCCAGGTCCCCAGGTTGAGGGACCAGCCCATGAACCCTTGCGGGGTACACATCTGCCAACAGAGCCGGAAGCACCTGGGGAGGAGTCAGATGGAGAAGGACCTTCAGGAGAGGGAGGATGGGGATCGTAGAGGTAGCAAGTCTAAAGCCTTCCCAGCCTTCTCAAGTCTTCTCCTCAGGACACCCCCATCCACACTCTGCCTGGGCTGTCGGCACTGTGTCATCACCATTGTTCTCTCATTTTCCCATCCTTTTCCCTCCAACTCAAGGCTGGAAGATCCCAGGTGCGGCTTGTACTTTATCCTTGTTTCCCCAAACCAGCCCTCAGGACTGGACCAGGGCAGGTGTTCAGTTGCAGGGTTGAGAACAGGCCTTTCTTTCCTTCCAGCAGCCCTAAAGGTTGAGGTGGCGTTTCTCCATCTGGGTGCTGTGCTCACAGTATATTCACTTTGTGAACATTCACAGAGGCAAACCTTTAGGGTCGTGCCCTGTCCTGTATTACATTGTCGTATCCGACTCTTTGCGACCCCATGGACTGGGGCCCACCAGGCTCCTCTGTCCTTGGGATTATCCAGGCAAGAATACTGGAGTGGGTTGCCATTTCCTTCTCCAGGGGATCTTCCCAACCCAGGGATCGAACCCAAGTCTTCTATGTCTACTGCACTGGCAGGCAGATTCTTTACCGCTGAGCCACCGGAAAGCCTTGTTAAACTTTGAGAACTACAGGCGAATCAGAGCCCAGAGACCGCAGCCAGGACAGGAGGGCTTGGCAGCGCAGAGCAGGTAAGCTGTAAGCAGGTCACCCCCAAGTCCCCCTCTGGGTGTCGCTGCAGCAGTCAGAAGCCTCAGCCCCAGCCCCAGCCCCAGCACCAGCCAGAGGAAGCCACACTCAGAAACCCAGCCGCAACCCTCTAGGGCGCCTCCCCTACCCAGAGGCAGCACCCTTCCCTAGCCACCCCAGCCCCGTGCCACAGCTCCTGACAACAGGCCTGGGGCTTCCAGGGCAACAGGAAGAGTTTGGGGATGTTTATGGGAAGGGCTTCCCAATCCTGTCCGTGCAGTTCCTTTCCCGAAGGAGGGCTCAGAGCACCTAAGGTCAGGGGACTTTGGAACTACATCCAGGCGGCTGGAAGCAGAGCCAACCTGCAGAGACAGCGTCAGGAAAACGAATGGAGGAGGGAGGTGGGGCTGGGGGTCCAGTTCTGAGCCAGGGTTGGGGGGGGGGGTCGGGTGCAGCTTTCCAGGGACTGCGGGTTGGTGAGGAATCAGCTTCCCAAGGAGGGAGAGAGGCTTTCTCAGGCCACCACAATCCCCAGCACTTTGGGGGTTAACTCAGATCCGGGAAAGGGAAATCTTTTCCCAGCAGCTCCGCCCAGTGACTCAGGCCAGAGGGAGGGAGGGAATCCAGGGGAGGGCAAGGGGACCCGTCGCTTCCCCGGCTCCTCAAGGGTCATGAGTCAGCTGAAAGGCTGATGGGATCAGGACCCCGCACGCAATCTGGATCCCATCTGATTCCCTCCGCCTGGAGGCCAGGCTCTATCCCCACGCAGCAACCCCCTTCCTCCCGTCCTCCTCCTCCAAACAGCCAGGCCATGGGTCTCTGTCCCTCTTGGCCCACTTTTTCGGGAAATGGCTCCCTATCCCATTCCATCCAAAGGGAAGTCTCCGGTGACCTCGGGCTTCCCCGTCTCAGGTCACTACCCGCCCCTCCCCCTCCCGGAGGGCCACTCAGCTCCTTCCCACCCCTCAGCATCCTTCCTTTAGACTCAGCCTCACCCAGACCCCTCCTCCTCCCAGCTCTGCCAGTCCCCCGACGACGAGGGCCCCCTGACCCACCCTAGCTCCAGAAGGGAGCGAACCAAGGCTGCCCTCCCAGTTGAGTTCACTGCTTTCCCACAGCTCAACTGGTTCTGGCCAGCTGGGTTGGGCTTGGGGACCTCCCTGGGGTCCTCAAATAATCCTTAGGAAACAAGGCCAGTTCTGAGGTTCCTCAGCCCCTCCCGCAAGCCCACAGGCTGCACAGGAAAGACTCTAGAGCTCTGAACGCCCAGTTCCATGAGGGAGGGAGCAAGCAAACAGGGATGGAAGGCAACCAGCATCATATCCGGGGTGGGGCGGTAGTGGGGGGCAGTCCCCACCTGCACCCCAGGCCAGCCCACTTGGATCCTAGGGGCCAGGGCCTCAGGTCCCCCCACTAGTGGGCGCCATCCCTCGGCACCGAGCGCAGCTTCAGCCATTGCATCTTGCAGTGCGTGTTGTGCTAAGTTGCTTCAGCCTATCTGACTCTTTGAGACCCTATGAACGGTAGCTCGCCAGGCTCCTCTAACCGTGGGATTCTCCAGGCAAGAATACTGGAGTGGGTTGCCACCCCCTCCTGCAGGGGACCGTCAGGACCCAAGGATTGAACCCGCGTTTCTTATGTCTCCTGCATTGGCAGGTTGCAGTAAAACAGTAGAAACAGAGGGTGAACTTTGAGCGCCCAGACGCCAGTCAACCTGGGGCAAAGGCAGGAAGCTGGGGTGCCTTTGGAGAGACAGTTGAGGAGGTGGCCCAGCACCCCTCCAACTCCCCCACAACTTCCGCCTGGGGAGGCTTTTAAGTGCGACTTCCTGCGCTGGCGCTGCAGCGTGGGGGTGGAAGAGCTGACAGCAGCCCCTGTGGTCTCGCTCTGACCAGCCGCCTCGCTGTCCCGTCCCCCATTCACTTCTTCATTAAAGTGCGTTTTGAGATGGATGAAACTGGAGCCCATTATACAGAGCGAAGTAAGCCAGAAAGATAAAGACCATTACAGTATACTAACACATATATATGGAATTTAGAAAGATGGTAACGATAACCCTATGTGCAAAACAGAAAAAGAGACTCAGATGTATAGAACAGACTTGTGGACTCTGGGAGAAGGCGAGGGTGGGATGTTTCAAGAGAACAGCATCGAAACACGTATATTATCTAGGGTGAAACAGATCACCAGCCCAGGTTGGGTGCATGAGACAAGTGCTCGGGCCTGGTGCACTGGGAAGACCCAGAGGGATTGGGTGGAGAGGGAGGTGGGAGGGGGGACCGGGATGGGGAATACATGTAAATCCATGGCTAATTCATTTCAATGTATGACAAAAACCACTACAATGATGTAAAGTAATTAGCCTCCAACTAATAAAAATAAATGAAAAAAAAAAAAAAAGGCCACAACCAGAAAAAATAAATAAATAAATAAACTACTAAAAAAAAAAAAAGTGCGTTTTGTTCATTTGATGTCAAAATCTTTGGGGAGCTTAAGACAGTTTCTCCTCCAAGGCTCTGCTGAGGCCTGGCCTCCCTCCCCTGAAGCCCCCCATCAGTAAAGGCTTCCCCCCTTCCAGCTCATCCCATGCAAACCCCACCCCGTGAACTTTAAAAACATGAATTTATTATATCTATTTTGGGCTCTTACCATAACATAACAGCTTTGGGTGACTAGATAATAATCTCCCCAAGTAGACCATAAACTATGCGATGAGAGATCTGAAAGTGTTTTGGTCAGAGATACTGTCTAATCCCTCGCACACAGAACTGTAGAGGCAAAATAAATGTGGTTTGACTGAATGATTTTATGACTACCTCTCTTCCACTCCAGTAAAAGCCAGTGATAACCATAGTGGGAAGATGGGAGTCAGTGCTGGACTGTAGGAATACATTTATCTCCAGGGGAAAACTCCTCCCTCCTTCCCACACACTCGCACACCCACTTGCACAATCTCACAGGAGATGATGGCAAGCCTTCCTCTCCTTTTGAGCATCCCTGGTGAGTGAAGGCAGCGCTTACAGATAAGAGTCTGAACATTCCTGCCTGAACACAAGGCAGATAAGAGTCTGAGAACCTCTGCTTGAGCCTGTCAGATACGCACTTCACTTGGTGAATTCCCAGACCCTCTACATGCCCCCAAACAAAACCCATCAACCTCCTGATCTAGACAGATATCACAACATCAACTTGTCTTGGCCACCCTTCTCTCCTCCGGGTCCCCATCCCTCCCATGCCGCAATCCAGGTCTGTAGTCCATCTTGCCAGACCTCCTCCGTCATCTCTCAGTCTTTTCCATGGGTTGCCTCACTCCCGATCATTGCCACCGTCTCCTTGCCTAGTCCCTGCTCCAGTCCAGCCTACACCCTTGCTTATCTGCATTCAAGCTTCAACTTGCACCCACAGGTGTAGGAATCTTTCTCGCCTGACCCTGAACATCATTTCCATAGGTCACTCCTTTCTTCCCTGAATGAGAACTTGAAGAGGTACCTACTACTATTCTGGATTCATTCCTGGACACAGCGAACCTAAGAGAATCATTTATGAAGAAATGAATGAATGAATGGAATTCCTCTACCCAGGATCACAATCAAGATTCTCTCTCTGTCCCTTCCCCTACTTCCTTCAAGTTTCTCTTTCTCACTTTTTCTTTTTTTTTAATATTTATTTTTATTTATTTATTTGGCTGCACAGGGTCTTAGTTGTGGCATGTGGGATACAGTTCCCCAACCAGGGATCAAACCCAGGGCCCCAGCATTGAGAGCTCAAAGAGTCTTAGCCGCTGGACCACCAGGGGAGCCCCTCTCACTTTTTTTGTTCCTCAACAGAGTCTTACCCCTACAGTCAAGACACTGAGCTTCTTGCCACCTCCAGCCTCCAACACACAACCCCATTGTTCTGTCCCTCCTGCCGTGCATGCTAAGTCGCTTCAGTTGTGTCTGACTCTTTGCGACCCCATGGACTGGAGCCCGCCAGGCTCCTCTGTCCATGGGATTTTCCAGGCAAGAATACCGGAGCAGGTTGCCGTTTCCTCCTCCTCCAGGAGATCTCCCAACCTAGGGAACAAGCCTGTGTCTTGCGTCTCTTGCACTGGCAGACAGGTTCTTTACCACTAGCATCACCAGGGAAGCCCAAACTCTCCCTCAGACCAGTATCCCTTTTTTCAGCCTCCTGCTTGTCTGTGACTTCAAATCTCAGCTCCAAAACCCCATTTCCAGGAGGCATTCCCTCCCTCATTCCATCCTTTATTCATTCAACAAACCAAGGAGGAGCACCTTTGAGGTGCAGGTCCCATAGGACAGCCAGGGAAGATAAGATGCAGACACAAAAGACTTCTTAGTTAGGTCAGAGATGGGCAACTGGGGAGGGAGTTGGCCGCTGATCCACAGACAGGACAGCACTCACCCCACTCCTGGTTCTGCCTCCCATCGGTGTTCCAGGGCACCGCATCATGCTTTTGTGGGCATTTTCCCTGAGATCTCTAAAACCATTATTTTTCTGTAAGCTGTCTTGGCTACAAGACTGTAAGCTCTTTGGGAGCAGCAAGATCTTGTGTGCTTTGTCAGTATCTCCTGCATTCTTCCCACCTCCACCACCCTCTGCCCCCTTACACACACCGTATTGCCTGCACTGCTCATTGACTGGCCCAGGGACAGCCTTACCCAGCACCGCACACCTCCTGTGTCCTCTCCAGTTCCAGGCTGAGCTTGTTCCCTTAGCTGTCACACCTCAACCTGGACTGGATCAGCTGCAACCCCAGGCACCTGACACCTTTCTTTATCTATCCAAGCTCCTTGCACCTCTGTTTTCCAAATGCAGAAGCCACTGAGCAATAACCACCACTACTGGCTTCCCTGGTGACTCAGTAAAGAACCTGCATGCAGTGCAGGGTTCCATCCCTGGATCACAAAGATCCCCTGGAGAAGGCAATGGCTACCCACTCCAGGATTCTTGCCTGGGAAATTCCATGGACAGAGAAGCCTGGCGGGCTACAGTCCATGGGGTCACAAAGAGCTGGATATGACTAAGCAATACACACACACACACACACACACACACACACACACACACACTTCTACTAGTACCAATAGAAAAGCTCTCATTAGTACTGAGTGCTTTCCGTTTGCCACTCTGATCCTCCACTAGATCAGAGATCCCATGAAGGCAAAGACCATGTTCACTGCTAGCACCTCAAACAGTTACGCACCAAGCAGGCACAAAGGAATGAAATACCTGATATATATCCATCTATGTCACCTTTGAAATGACACTATGCAGCAGAGACTAAGACAAACTGTAAAGCCATTATACCCCAATGATAAAATTAAATTAAATACAAAACAAACCAAAACAACGACATTATGAGGTGATGACTATTCTGTCCTTCTTAGAAATAAAGAAGCAAGACGTGGAGGGTTACATAACCCGTTCAAGTCCAGACAGCTAGTACCTGAGGGAGACAGGACTGGATCGGGTGGTTTGCCCCAGGAGTGAAGAGGAGTCAGGGAGAGGGAAAAGGGGGGAGCCTGTGAGGACAGCCTGGAAAGAAGGGAAAGATGGGCTTGAGGGTGTGGAAGAATGGACGAAGGAGATCAAGAGGGAGGAGGGGTGCTTCGTGAGGAACTAGTGTCTAGATAGGTGGACTAGAGCAGAGAAGAGAGAGGAACCGGAGAGAAAGGTTCAAAAAGGAGACTCGGAGAAGTCTGGACTTGTGGGGAGACTTGACAGAAAAGAAGGAATGATTAGGGCACACAGCAGGAGACCCCGGGGGAAGGAGGGTGGGGCGGAGGAGAGGTTGGGGGAGTCAAGGTGAGGAGTGGCAACTGGGCAGAGGAAGAGTGAACCAGGAGAAAGTGGCCAACGCAGTCCCCCGAACTAGGTAGAGGGGCTGGGTCTCCACCCCCGGACCACTGCGGAGGGGTCAAGGATACACTCAAAGAAGGCTGAGGCAAGAGAAAGGGACATTTTCCAGTGACGAAAACAAGTGTCTACCAACTTCCCCAAACTGAGCTGTGGAAGAAGAAAGCAAGCGATCTGTTGTTGGGGTCGGGGGAGGGGGCCAGGGGACGGCTGCCGGGCTCTACGGCCTCCTCCTCCGAGGGTCCATCCAACAGACAGAGGCCACAGACCAAGGTGAAGAGTGCCCCCCAGGGGGCCGGGAGGCCTGGGCCTGGGGAGGCCGCGGGATCTCCTGCCCCTATGTGGTTACCCACTCCCTTCCCAAATGCCCCCAACACAGCATCCCAAGCCCACCACCCCCAGGCCACCACATCCCAGTCCACCTCCCGGACTCAGTTTCCCCACTTCACGAGCGGCGTCCAGCCCCTGCTTTCCACTCTCAGACCGGCGCCCAGGCAGCCTCGCCTCTCCACGGCCCAACACGACGACGTGCGGGCAGAACAATCCGGACTCTGAGAGGACCCACCTTCTTTCTCCCATTCCTTTCGATTTCCTAACAAACTGCCCCTCCTTACCCTGTGGGCACCTGCCGCCACATTCCCAGCCTGCCCAGGCCTGGGGCCGCTTTCCCTCCTGGCCTTTCAAACTTGTCCCCGGCTCTGGGCCGCAGGTGAATGGGGCAGTGTGTGCCGGCAGGCCCGCGCAGGCCTGGGGCTGGGCCCGGCCCTCCGCTCTCTCCAGCCCCAGGCCCTCCTCTCCCGCCTGCCCACCCTGCCCTGGGCCCCCTCCCTGTCTCACCAGTGGCAGCAGCAGGCCAGGCACGGTGGGGAGGCCCATGTCCGGCCAGCTGTGGCCTCTCAATCCCCCATCAGGGCTGGGGCAGTGGCGGCCCGCGACAGTGGCAGCGACACAGTCCTTGCGTCTCCCCAGCGGAGCCCAGGCCTCGGGTCGGGGAGTGGAGGGTTGAGACTTGGGCGGGGACACAGCCCAGTCCGGAGGACCTCAAACCCGGAAGGCAGCCCGGAGCCGGGAGAACTCCGAGAAAACTTGAGCTGAGAAGAGGTGGGAGGGGAAGGGAGAGAGGCAGATGGGGTATTGCAACTTCAGGACAGGAAGAGCCTGGGGTGGAGGCGGGAGGAGGCGGGAGGAAGGGGGTGGGGGGGCAAGGTCCCTTAACCCTTTGTAGTCAGACAGAGGCAGGGCTCCGGGATCCAGAAGCCACGCGCCCGGGTCTAACCACGCCCTCTCCCCCAGACACCCAGGTGCACCCCTCCCAGCCCTCCGCCTCCTCTCCCACAACGCCCGGCCTGTCCCAAGTGAACAAGAGAAAGACAGGGCTTTCGAGTCAGATTCGCTGGGTTCCAGCTCAGAACTCTCTGCTTTTTTAGCTGGGTGGTCTGCTGTGTTCCGGTCTGCCTAATGAAGAGGCCTTCTCTCATGCTGTCACAGTCAGGTAAGTGAAGCCAGACGTGATCCCAGTCCTCAGGGCTCTTCCCCTTTTCCCAGGGTTCTCCAATGACATCCTAATGTCTCACTTTCTCGGGAATGTACACCTGCAATCCAAACCTCAGAGTAAAGCTTAACCCTGACTGGAGGTCCTGACCTGCCCCACTTCCCACACCACCAGGTCTCAATCCGATCTGTGCCGGGCGGGACCCCCAGCTGCTGATTCTGGCTGAACCTCCCAGAAGACCTCGGTCATGAAATGAGAGCCACAGTGCCTGGCCCAGCTTCCATGGGGAAGGTAACATCATGAGGCCTAATGGAATTACAGCTCACTCCATCAGGTATTGCTAGAACGTTCCCAGTGCCCTTTTCCCAAATATTCCAATACATCGATCCAAACCACCCTCAAAGATAATCTACTACAGGACCCCTTCCTTGTTGCTGTTTTTTAAATTGACTTTTAATTGAAGGACAATTGCTTTCAAATATTGTGTTGGTTTCTGCCATACATCAATATGCATCATCCATAAATATGCATATGTTCCCTCCCTCTTGAACCTCCCTCCCACCTCCCACCCCTTTAGGTTGTTACAGAGCCCTGGTTTGAGTTCCCTGAGTCATACAGCAAATTCCCACTGGCGGTCTATTTTACATATGGCAGTGTGTATATTTCCATGCTTTGAGGCCCAGAGACGTGCAGGTCATGTGCCCTGCTGGGCCAGCCCAGCCCGCAGACTCCTGACCTCAGACCAAGGGCCCTGTTTTGTTGCAATAGATAATCGTCACTTTTCTATCAATCCTTTTGAGTCAGTCAGACCCCACCCTCGACTCTTAGGATGTATTATGCCACGCCCATCTGTGCAGGACGTCTCCCAGATGAATCCCACAATGAAGTACAACATTAACCCAAATGTTCTCTGGATGCGATGAGCATCCCCAAGACCCAGTCCAGGCCCCGGGTTCTCCAGCTGCTGAGACTACTAGAAATACAGGGAGACCAGACCGGAGTAAGGAGGGCCTAGGGTTTTGTGACTTGGCATCAGAGCTCCTCACTCATTGATCTCTTGATCCACCAGCTAACCCTCAACCCTGGAATCCACCCTCTCTGGACCTTCCTGTCCTCCCCTCCGTGATCCCAAGTAGGTGTCAATGGAACCCGATGCCTGTACTTCTGGCTGACTTCACTCTTCCCCATCCTCCAGCTTCTGAGATACTAGAGGATTAAAGCTGGACCCACAGAGGGTGAGGATCACCTCTACCATCACCCAGGGAGGCTCCAAGTGCAGCATGAGTGGATCCAAAGCAGACCTCTTAAAGAAGCCGAGTCATTGAAATACAGTGCAAGAGTCAAATTGCCCAGTTTCCAGTGTGAAGATGCTTAAGAGAGCTACAGGTTCCTTGTGTTAAAAATGGGAAGCTTGCTGGTACCCCTCACACTGCATGCATGGATGATAAATGACGTAAAGTGTTTAGCAAGGGTTTGACATATACTAAGCATTCAATCAGTGGTTGTTGTCGTTGTTCAGTTGCTAAGTCATGTCTTACTCTGTGACCCCATGAGCTGCAGTGCGCCAGGCTTCCTGTCCTTCACCATCTCCTGGAGTTTGCTCAAATTCATGTCCATTGAGTTGGTGATGCCATCCAACCATCACATTCTCTGTCACCCCCTCTCCTCCTGCTCTCAATCTTTCCCAGCATCCAAAGTATTGGAGCTTCAGCTTCAGCATCAGTCCTTCCAGTGAATATTCAGAGTTGATTTCCTTTAGGATCAGTCAGTGGTAGCAATGTGTTTTATTTCTTTATTTGGCTATGGCTTTCAGCATGTAGGATCCTAGTTCCCTGACCAGGGGTTGAACCCACACTCCTGCTTTGAAAGCACAGAGTCTTAACCACTGGACAGCTTGGGAATTCCCCAGTGGTATTAATGTTAGTATTTTGTATTAACAAAATGTCCTGTGCTTTTCTTTTCTTCTTTTAAATTTTTGTTGAAATACGGTTGATTTGCAATGTTGTGTTAGTTTCAGGTGTCAGTGTCCTATTTTTAACGTTCCAAGAAATTTTTGATAGTCTGTTCCAACTGCCAATGCCATTGCACATAGCCCAGCACAAAAGGAGAATCTCTTTCATTGTTTAGGATGAATGCCTATTTACTCAGCAAGCTTAAAGCCTTGAGAAACATGGTATTCAACTGTTCAATAAAATTCTGTTTAAAAAAGATTGTGAGAGGTGGGTTGACCTAGGACTATGAACAGCTAAGTAGTCTTGTGGAAGAGGTGAAAGCACAGGCATAAGCCCTCCCGGGAAGAAGGAATCACGGTAAGGGAGAGACAGAGAAACCCAAGAGGGGCAGGGGACTTCTCTGGGGTCCAGTGATTAAGAATCTGCCTTCCAATGCAGGGGACATGGATTTGACCCCTGGTCGGGGAACTAAGATCCCATAGGCCACGGGACAACTAAGCCCTTGTACTGCAGTTACTGAGCCCTCACACCTCAACTAGAGAGCCTGTGTGCCGCAACTAAGACCCCACGCAACCAAAACTACATAAATAAAATTTTTTTTTTTTAAAGAAGAGGGGGCAACCTGGGATTGGCTATTAGGGCTTGTGGAGCAAAGGCTGAAGGGAAAGGAGCTTCAGATAACAGAGCTCCCTCTCTCCATCACGTGTCACACACCCCGCAGTAGCACAGTCATCGAATGGACACTGGACTCCCAGTCGCGGTGACGTGGGTCCCAGCCCCAGCCCAGTCATTCCAACCCCGTGTGTCACAGGGAGACCTGGTTTCCCAGCTGGCTCTGTACAAATCATGAACTTGGGCAAGTCACTTCACCTGATAGGCTCCATAAGGAACATGAGACAGGGTGAACTCTGTCTCCTCTACGCGTCTGATCAACCTGAGACAGAGAAGGGGGAAACAGACAGCACCCCGCTCCTGCATGTGCTCCTTCTTACAATGCACATGTGCTGATCACTACCCATTTCAATGAACACTAGAGAGACTTCCCTGGTGGTTCAGTGGTTAAGACTCTGCACTCCCAACGCAGGAGGCATGGGGTTCGATCCCTGGTTGGAGAACCAAGATCCCGCATGCCACACACGGCAGCCAAAAAATAAAAAATATACACTCTAGAAAAATACATGCCACATGTGACGGGTACCTGCCCTAGTCCCCTCCCACATTTGCATGTTAAATCGCTTCAGTCGTGTCAGATTCTTTTCGACCCTATGGACTGTAGCCCACCAAGCTTCTCTGTCCATGGGATTCTCCAGGCAAGAATACTGGAGTGAGTTGCCATTTCCTCCTCCTGGAGATCTTCCCAACCCAGGGATCAAACCCGAGTCTCTTGTGTCTCCTGCATTGGTAGGTGGGTTCTGTACCACTAGCGCCACCTGGGAAGCCCCCATAATTGGCATCTGTTTGCTTTTAAAATCCACTTTATCTTGAATCGCGTCAGATGAATACATTAACATCAGTTTTTATTGAATTTGCGATGCTTTGAATAATGGTCAGGATGTGCATGTGTGTGTGGGGAGGGGATGTCAGTGAAGAAAGAAATAAACTATTTTTAAAGCTAAAAAAAAAAAAAAAAACTTAGGGATTTCCCTGGTGGTCCAGGGGCTGGGACTCCATGCTTCCAATGTGGGGGACCTGGGTTTGATCCCTCGTCAGGGTACTAGGGACCTGGTGCAGCCACATAAATTAAATAAATAAAAAGAATTAAAAAAAAAAAAACTTAGTGTGCAGGAGCAACACACCGATGGAAGGGAGACCTCAAGGTGGACCTGCTTTTTGGCAGGAGAAACTCCAGCGAGGGCTGGGGGAGGCAGGGGAAGGATGGGGAGTAGGGGCTGCCTTGTCATCCTTAATAGCTCCAGCTTTGTCCGACAGGCCCCGCCCGCCCAGTCAGGGGAGACGGAGCTAGGACGGGCTGGGGCCAAAGCACACAGGAGCAGGCTGAACCTGAAGGTTCAGAGAGGAAACTGTTGTGACACCAGCACTTTCCCCTCATCGCTGTGAGTCTAGGAAAGGGAAGTCCAGAGTCATCGCATCATTTCCTCCTCACGACCTTTACCTTCCCCCGCCATTTGCCATCTCCCCCTCTTTCCCAAGATTCACATGGCTCCTCAGGTCAAGATCACAAGGGTTCATGGGGGCGGTGAGGGGAGCCAGATCAAGGCATCAGGATTCGGTCCTAAGGAGGGTGAGGAAGGGTGACGCCTGACTCCCAGGGCTGATGCTGGTGTTGGGGGAGGAGCCGGGGGTCTGGAGACCTGGGTTCCACTCAACATCCCTCGGCGTCTCCTTTGTTAAAATAAAAACTGGGAAGATGCCCGCTGCTGCTTTCTCTGTGAGGATGTGAGGATGAGAATACACAGGCTTCGAGGCTCCTCAGGAAGCCGGGCTGAGTCCCATCCTCTTCCACCAGCACTGAGCAGCTGATGGAGAGGTGGGCGGGTGAGGGTGCTGCAGCTGGGTGATGAGTGGTGCTCAGCAGGAGAGAAGGATTACAGATGGTGGTGACCAAGGTCGGGGAGGAAAGGGGTCCAGGCCGTGGACAGGGACACGTACCCCAAGCATTACACAGCAGGTCTCCTGGTGGAGGGCACCTGTCTTCTCCTCCCACCTGAACATGGTGATGGGCACAGAGCAGATGCTCAGCAATGCCCGTGGAAGAACTAGCAAGACGGTTTGTCTCTCCCAAGGCCCCTAAAGGACGGTCATTCCCATCGTGCAGCCAGGGGAATGGGAGACTGCCCTGTGCCCCCCTCCCCAACCCAGGACTGTGCTTGGGCAGCAACCCAGGACTTGCACCCACTCCCTGGCCCCCTCATGTTGCCATCCAGCTGTCCAGACATTCTCTTTTAGGCCACGCCTTACGGCATGGGGGAATCTTAGTTCCCTGACCCATGGAAGTCCCTCCAGACATTCTTTATGCAACATTTATTAAGTACCTGCCTACTTGCTCCAAGTGGGACACTGGGCTAGACTGTGAGGATAGGTGAATGAACAAGACTCAATCCCTAACCACTGTGAGCTCAGTCATGCTGGGGACACAGACACAAATGAACAGGAAAATTAAATGCAGTGTCAGCACTTCCACAGATGTGATGGTGTATGATGGGAGTCCACGGGAGAGGGAAGTGGTAAGATCTGGGGAAGACAGGGTGGGGAAGAAGCCTTCACAGAAGTAATGGTATCCGAGCAGGGTTCTCAGGGATGCATAGGAGTTCTCCAGCAGATGCGGGGGTGCGGGGGAGGCTTCCAGACTAAGGAAATAGCTTGAGCAAATACGCAGAGTTACAAAGGACAAGGACGCAGGGCAGAGGCACTGGGCGAGGCTCCGTGGGGGGGATGGGGTAGTGAGGCTGACTGGGAATCCAGGTCTTCACTACACTGGGCTGCCCCAGTCCCTGCCCTGGGAGTCAGGCAAACAGAATTGCCTAGCAACTAACCGAGGGGGCTTTTGGGGTGGGGTTCCCCACCCCCTTTCAAGAAGAGGAGCAAACGCCTATGTCACTGGAAGGCAGTGTGGAGGGCCATTCTGGAGCCGAATCAACCATCTTTAGGAAGGAAACCACACACGCCTTTGTATGCCCTTGTCTGTTTTGTTCTGGTCGTCCGTTGTTTCCTAGGAAAGTTGTTTGTCAGAGATCCAAGTTTGGCTTGGCTGATCCAAGGGAAAAGAGGACTTGGCTGCACTGGGGTGGGGGAGAGCAAAGTGTTCTCGAGGCAAGACCAACGTGTCCGGGGAGGAACCAGGGTGATGCTGGCTGGGGGTCTCCAGGCAATTTCCACAGCCCCCTATCCATCCTGCTTCACACACACACACACACCCCCACCCCGGCCCACCACCCACACACACACCAGGGGCAGCTGGGCAGCTCTGAGAGGAAGCCGCCAAACATTCTTGAGTCTTGCCAAGGCTGGATCCCTCCCACCAAGGGAAGTGCCTGCCTTGGGGAGGGGACACTGTCCTTCCCTCTCAGGGCTCTACCGGAGCGTGGGCAGAGGCGCTGGCCTCTGCCAAGCCTGATGGAGCCGGGTGGGGACCCAGGGTAGCGTAGGCAGGTGGAGGGGCTGACAAGGCCGGGGAGATGGCAGGGTCCGGCGGGGATGAGGAGGAGGAAGCCGGGTGGGGGCAGAAACTGGAGGGGAGGGAGGCGGCTGGAGTGGAGGCCACCTCCTGGGTGCCCCTGCCCCCTCGGCCTGGGGACCAGTATCGACTTCGGAACCTCCGGAGCAGCATGAGGAAGGTGATAACCAGGAGATCAAAGATGAGCTCGGCCATCTCCACCACGGACAGCACGGAGGAGCCGAACCACAGGCTCCACTGGCTGCCCAGGTTGGACAGGAGGGTGACCATCTGTGAGGGCAAGAGGCACGCTGAGCACTTGGCAGGGAGCCCATCCTCCACTCCACTCGGACTCTCCTGGCCCCAGGGCCCCTGGCCTCTGCTCCCCTCCTCTGGGAGCACAGGACTGCTGGCTGGTTTCTTCCAGGGAAAACCAAGAATGAGGCCACCGTGGGGATGGCAGACACCCAGGCCTGTCTCGAGAGGCTTCTCCCCATCATCCATCACTACCCCGCTCCGAGACTTCACCCCAGCGAGCATCCTTCCACCCTTCTAGAGCTCGCCCTCTCCCCTTGGTCCCCCACCTTCGAGGCCCAAACCCTTAGGCCCCACAGAGGTAATCTCCTGTGTTCATGGACAGGCCCCTGACTAAGACCCCCTGCCCCCAGAGAATCCCAGGTTCAGTGGGGCAGGACGCACCGTGACTGAGGGAGACTCAGAATTAGATTTGTAGTTCAGCTCCTTGAAGAAGATGTTGAGTTTGGCAACTCCATCCCTTTGGAGTAGGGGAAAGGGTGGGAAGAGACAGCCCAGGGTTAATTTCTCTGCTGCTCAAAAACACTCTCCTCCAATCAGCTGTACCCATCCCTCTTCCTGGGTCTGCTTTCTCTCCCACAGATTCCTTTCCCCAGGCTGGGACCCAGGGAAAGGAATTATTGTCACTGTTTAGTCACTCAGCCATGTCCGACTCTTTGGGGACCCCATGAACTGGAGCCTGCCGGGCTCCTCTTTCCAAGGAATACTCCAGGCAAGAATACTGGAAGGGGTTGCCATTTCCTTCTCCAGGGCATCTTCCCATCCCAGGGATCAAACCTGAGACTCCTGCATTAGTGGGCAGGGAAGCCTGGGACCAGGGTAGAACTGACCGTTTGTTCTTGATGGTGTAGTTGTTCTGTCGGGACAGCATCTGGAAGACCCAGTCCTGGGAGGGGATGAAGTGTCAGTGGGGTCACCCCCATACTCTTCAGGCTTACAGAGCTGGGGGTGGGGTCAAACACAGTCATACACATATGCCCAGAGAAGACCGCAGTGCTACACACACATACACTACCTGGGATGTCACGGAGGGCCATTGTGAGTAACTGGCAGAGAGCTTGTAGATGGTCACACTGGGGATGGAGAAGGTGCTCAGTGAAGGGGGTAGGGGTGGGGCTCTCCCACTCAAAGTTGGACCAAGGATCCTCTGTGGTACCCAGACAACCAACCTGGGCTCCAGGAGGGGATGCTCACCTGCATGGCTTCCGGCACTTGGTGAAACAGCCCAGACGGTCTGAGGAAAAGGCATCCTGGAGCTTATAGTAGCAGTAACCTGCAGGTGCAGAGAGGTGCTCATTTTCCTAGACCCCCTCCACCTTCTTCACCCACACCCTGCAGGTCTCCCAAGACCCCCGGCACCCACTGCACAGCGTATCATGGAGCAAAACAGGAAGGGCTCCCGAGTGACAGCACCAGAGCACGTGGAAGAAATGAAGCCAAGTCCAGCAAAAAATAAAAACGGGCTACACCCTTGTTAAAGTGAGAGTGTTAGTCGCTCAGTCGTGGGTCCAACTCTCGGCCACCCCCATGGACTATAGCCACCCAGGCTTCCCTGCCAATGGGATTCTCTAGGGAATCTTCCCAACCCAGGGATTGAACATGGGTCTCCCACATTGCAGGCAAATTCTGGATACAGACAAATGTTGAAAAGTGAAAAAGAAAAGTGGGAGCAATTTTTGTATAAGAATAATGAAATTAAACCACAATGAGATACCACTTCACACCCACTAAGATGGCTATTGGAGATGAAATGGCAACCCACTGCTGTGTTCTTGCCTGGGAAATTCCATGGACAGAAGAGCCTGGAGGGCTATAGTCCATGGGGTCGTGAAGAGCTGGACACGACTTAGTGACTAAATCACCACCACCAAGATGGCTATAATGAAAAAGGACAATGACAAGTGTCAATGAGGACATTAAGAAATTGTAACTCATCACTGCTGGCAATATAAATTGGTGCCACTATTGTGGAAAACAGTCTGGCAGTTCCTCAAAAGGTTAAACATAAAAAACTATACTACATGCACGTGTGCTCAGTTGCTCAGTCGGGTCTGACTCTAGCCTACCAGGCTCCTCTGTCCATTGGATTTCCCAGGCAAGAATACTGGAATGGGTTGTCATGCCCTTCTCCAGATCTCCCCAACCTGGGGATCAAACTCACGTGCCCTTCATCTCCTGCATTGCCCACAGATTCTTTATGCACTGACCCACTGGAGAAACCCTAAACCTACCAAATGACCCAGCAATTCCACACCCTGGAGAACTGAAAACATTGACCACAAAAAAACTTGTACACAAATGTTTACAGCAGCATTGTTCCCAACAGCTAAAAAGGGGTAAAAACCCAAATGTCCATTAATTGATAAATGGATAAACAAGATGAGGTTTATCCATACAATGAATATTATTCAGCCATAAAAGGGAATGAAGTACTGATATATGCTGCCAGGTGGAAAGTGAAAGTGAAAATCACTCAGTCAACTCTTTGGACTGTATAGTCCATGGAATTTCCCAGGCCAGAATACTGGAGTGGGTAGCCTTTCCCTTCTCCAGGGGATCCTCCCAACCCAGGGATTGAACCCAGGTCTCCCACATTGCAGGCAGATTCTTTACCAGCTGAGCTATCAAGGAAACCCTGATACCAGGTGGATGAACCTTGAAAATATTAACGCTAAGTACAAGAAGCCAAGCACAAAGGATCACAGATGTGATCTATGAAATGTCCAGGAGAGGCAAATCTATAGTAGATAGAAAGTAGTTGAGTGGTTCTGAGGGGCTGGGGGGGCAGGGGGAGGGCCTGTGGATACAGGGAATGGCAAGCTTGGAGACCACTAATGGGTACAAATTTTTTTTTTTTTTTTTGGAGCGGTGAGAAGGTTCTAAACTGATTGCAACAACTGTCACACAGTTCCATGACTATGCAAAAAAAAAAAACTAAAACTATACTGCCTGGAGAATCTCCATGGACAGAGGAACCCGAAGGTCTACAGGTCATGGAGTCACAGGAGTCGGACACAACTGAGTGACTAGGCACACACAATACTAAAATTGCACTGTACATTTTCAATGAGTGAGTTATCCAGGAAACGAATTTATCTCAATACATCTGTTACCAAAAAATCAATAATGGGACCATGGGCTTCCCTTGTGACACAGCTGGTAAAGAATCCACCTGCAATGCGGGAGACCTGGGTTTGATCCCTGGGTTGGGAAGATGTCCTGGAGAGGGAAAAAGCTACCCACTCCAGTATTCTGGCCTGGAGAATTCCATAGACTGTGAAGTCCATGGGGTCACAAAGAGTTGGACACAACTGAGAGGCTTTCACTTTTAAGGACTTTCCTGATGGCTCAGTTGGTAAAGAATCCGCCTGCAATGCAGGAGACCCCAGTTTGATTCCTGGTTTGGGAAGATCCACTGGAGAAGGGATAGGCTACCCACTCCAGTATTCTTGGGCTTCCTTTGTGGCTCAGCTGGTAAAGAATCCACCTGCAATACCGAAGACCTGGGTTTGATCCCTGGGTTAGGAAGATTCCCTGGAGAAGGGAACAGCTAGGCTACCCACTCCAGTATTCTGGCATGGAGAATTCCACAGACTATACAGTCCATGGGGTCACAAAGAGTGAGCAGTTTTCACTTTCACTGGGACCATGGATTCCCCTTCACCCCTATTTCCCAGGTTCTAAGTAAGGTTTTTTTGTTACTCTTGATACTTTCAGTCACCCGGGTCCTTCTTCATTTCTGACCCAAATCACTCTGAATACCAGGGTTTATATAATTAATCACAAAATTAATCTTTAATTAGGAAGACTGGGAAGCAGTTAGGCTGAGGAGCAAGCAGTCCTTAGGAAACTCAGCAGACTGTTTCTTCGGCCGAGTTTCTCTCCCTCATCCTCACAACTTCTAGCAAACAGTAAGGTCATTTTTCTCTCAAGGATCTTTTCAAACTCACAACCACTTAGCAATCAGCATTCGGGGGCCCGGGGAACAGTGGGCAGAGTGCCTGCTCTGCATGTCCTGGGACATCCTGTCTTCCCTCTGGGCCTCAGCTTGCTCGTCTGAGAAAGGGGCCCATCAGGCAAGACGGCCTCTGAGCTTCCCTCCAGCTCAGATGCGCTGTGATTCTCCAAGGCCAGAAAGCCAGAAATCAGAGGCCAAGACTGTAGGGCACAGGTCGGGGGAGGACTGAGAGAGCAGCACCAGGAAAGAAAGCAGGCGGAGAAATGCACAGATGGAGGCTGCTCTCCACTCTAGGATCTGCCGTGTCCCTGCCCTCTCCCCTTGGAGGGGTCGGCTGTGCCAGATAAGGGGGTGTGGACCAAGGACGCTCGCCCTCTATGTTCTGTGTTCTCTTGCTGGGGACTTTCTTTCTCTCTCAGCTTCCCTGCTGAATAACTCAGCTGTAAAGAAAAGGAAAAGAGATTGATCTGCTCCTAGACCAGGGCCAGGAGGAGAATCTAGTGTCTTCCAGATTCTTTTGACTGTGCTCTCCTCTAGTTTTAATGTTTTAATTCTTCCACAAGTCATTTCTAAATGATACACCTGCTCCTATTGAACTGATACATTAAGTGCATGATAAAACATACATAAACCGGAAGGTGTTAGGGAATGAGGCAGATTCACACAATTTCTAGTCTTTTCTTCCTGCAACCAGCACTGTCTCACCAGCACTCAGCACCAGCCCTGCCGGTACCCTAGGGAGTGAGCAGGATGCCACCCGCAGGGCAAGGAACCCAGGGAGGTCTTCCTCACGTGTTCTTCTTTCCTTTTGCTGCAAGTTATTTTTAAAAATATTTATTTGGCTGGGTCAGGTCTTAATTGTGTCATGAGGATCTTTCCTTTCAGCTCACGGATTCTCTAGTTACAGTTCATGGGCACGGTAGCTCCACAGCATGTGGGATCTTAGTTCCCCGACCAGGGATCAAACCTGCATCCCCTTCTTTGCAAGCCGGATTCTTAACCACTGGACCACCAGGGAAGTCCCATAAGTTACTTTTAAATGGGGACATCCGGGACTTCCCTGGTGGTCCAGCGGTTAAGAATACACCTTGCAATACAAGGGATGTGGGTTCGATCCTTGGTCGGGGAACAAAGATCCCACATGCCGTGAGGCTACTGAGCCCCAACTAGAAGGTCTGTGTGCCACAATGTAAGATCCCCGGTGACATAGTGAAGATCCTGTGCATTGCAACTAAGACCTGATGCAGCCAAGTCAATAAATAAAAAATAAATAAATAAATAAATAAATGGGGACATCCGATTATAAACACACAGAAGTCAAAAGAGAGAAAAACTGAGAGGGAGGGACGAGACAGAGTGAGAGGAAAACGGATAGGGTGGCATCTAAGAACCAGTGAACAGGAGTCAGTGGGAGAACCAGTTGGGGAACATGGGAGCCGGAAGCTACAGTGGGGGCGCTGAGAGTGCAGGGCTCCTGGGAAAATCCTGGACTAGGGTGGGAGCGGGGGCTGGCTTCCCGCAGTCTCACCCCAGGAATTATGCTTCCTGTAATCACAGAACTCTACGCCGTCGGGCCGTGGGTAGAAGATGTAGGCACAGCCACACTCCTTGATCATGCTCGCCTGGAAGCATGAATGAATGCACACCTGGAGGAGGGGAGCGTGAAGGGGGATGGTGAAGGCCTGCCCACCCCAGGATGGCACGGGAGGGGAGGACAAATCAGCCCCCCCAGTGTGCCTCCACCCCTCTCTCCACCATCCCCATCGCCCAGCAGGCACACCTGGAGGCTACGGCTGACCTATGCTGGACACAGTTGCCATGGAAACAGGCTGGGCCTCACCTGCTGCGTGTACTTGGTATTGTAAAGGTTCTCCACTGGGACCTCGCTGCCATTCTTGGTGCAGTCGCCATAGTCGCCCCCGAGTCTGTCCACAGCTTCCTAAGAACCCAGAGACACCAAGCAGTCAGAGGTCAGAGGTCAGAGCAAGTGGTCCAGGCCTCTTCCTGACCTCTGTCTTCCCTCAGTCCCCAGGCTGTATGTCCTTCGGCTATCTCTCCTACCCTCCTGGTCATTTCACAACATGACCTCAGGGCTACTTCCGAGAAGGTGTTAGGGAGCGTGGAGCATTCCCTGGAACCCTCAGCATGTTCCAAACCCCTTCCCAGTGCTCTCATCCCATGCACACTCCTCAGAAACCTATTTCCTAATGCTCACTCAGCCCGGCCCCTCACCCCAGATTTCTGCTCCCGAAGTCCACTACATGCTCGAAGCTCACCCATCACAACCTCTTCTGGTCCTCTGGCTGTCATCCCTGCAAGCCCTCTCTCTGCCCCTCATCTGGGGTCTTCCCCAGGTCTCCCGAGCAGCATCCTTGCCTTACTCATGCTGATGGAGGTCTCCACGCCGGGTCGCAGATTAAAGCCAGCATCATCCATAAAGGGAGGCTCATCCCGTTCATGCACCATCACCCGGGCCCCAGTCACCGTGGACAGCAGTGGAATGAAGTCATTTTGCTCTGTGCGCAGTGTCAGGGACAGACCTGGGGAGAAGGGTGGGGGGTGGGGGGGACAGAGCCAGGGGGCAGGGCACATTGGTTGAGAGAAGCATCAGGGTGTGGAAACCCATCCTCCCACCCTGCCTAGTCTCTAAGCCTCCCAGGGCAGCAAGTTCAGGAAGACCTACAAATGGATTTGGCAACCCCTGAGCTGAATTTGGGGGCTTTCCCTCGTGGCTCAGTGGTAAAAAAGCCACCTGCCAATGCAGGAGACGTGCGTTCGATCCCTGGGTCAGGAAGATCCCCTGGAGAAGGAAATGGCAACCCATTCCAGCATTCTGGCCTGGGAATTCCATGGACAGAGGAGCCTGGTGGGCTACAGCCCATGATGTCGCAAAGAGTCAGACACAACTTAGTGACCAAGCACGTACACGCAGGAGCTGGATTTGGGGTGCAGGGCCAGCCAGAACCAGGATAGGATTCCTATCACACCTGGGATGGAATACGTGATACCCACAGGGGAGAAAAAGCAAAGAGGATTTTCCAAGATATAGATGGGCGTGCTGCAGTGAGGCCTGGAGCTCTTCTAGGACAGGAGCTCAAGGCAGATAGATGTGGGCATACAGGGCAGCAGAGAGGCTGGGGCTGGGGTCGGGACAACGCACCGTTGTTGACCCCGGGCATGGAGGACATCCAGAGGTTGGAGCTGTTCTTGTCATTGAAAGTGTAGCAGTTTCCATACATTGGGTGGTGGAAGTGAGAGTAATTCCTATTCAGGAGAGAGAGAGGGGGCTCAGAGGGGAAGGTGCAGGGGTCAGGGAGAGCAAGACTTTCAGAGCCCTTTGTTTCCTGATCACCTACTATGTGCAGACACGGTGCTGGAGCCTCACCCAGGCCCTCTCACTAGGCATCATCCCCACTTCACAAGAGAGGAAGCACGGGTTCAGAGAGATCAAGTAGCTGCCCAAGGTGAGCAGCGAGCATGAGACAGGACTCAAACCCAGGTCAGCTACCTTCTCGCCCAGGCTCCTTCCCCCAGGCCACCCGACGTCATTGGCCTTGTGGCCTCTCCCATCTCGATGCTGCACTACATTATGAATTCTTGCAGCATCCCTGGCTTCTCACAGGTCTACATCTTACTTCCCCATTCAGATTATAATTTCCTTGAGGACAGGAAACACATTGCCTTCATGGCTGAATGGTCTCTGGGTTAATGGCATGGTTCTTGGCATGTAGGAGAAACGGAGATGGAGAACAAATAGTTGATGAATGAATGGAAGAGAAAGGAAGTGGTGGGGGGAGGGGGCAAGACAGTGAGACCAGGAAGGTCAGGTCCAAGGGCAGGAATGAGTCTTGCAACAGCATGCCTCCCACTGGGAGGTCCAAAGCGGGGCTGGGACAGGCTTGGGAACAAAGAGAAAGGAGTCTTAGATTTGTGTTGCTACAATAGGAACATGATTTGACAGCAAATCACATGCCCCCCAATGGGGAAGCTGTGTGGACTGCAGCCAGAGCCCACACCAGAATAGGGGGTATCTAACTCAAAGCTAAGGTTTTCCCAGTAGTCACGTACGAATGTAAGAGTTGGACTGTAAAGAAAGCTGAGCACCGAAGAATTGATGCTTTTGAACTGTGGTTCTAGAGAAGACTCTTCAGAGTCCCTTGGTCTGCAAGGAGATCGAACAAGTCAATCCTAAAGGAAATCAGTCCTGAATATTCACTGGAAGGTGAATATTCAGCTTCACTGAAGATGAAGTTTCAGCTTCACTGGATGCTGAAGCTTAAACCCCAATACTTTGCAAAGAACTGACTCATTGGAAAAGACCCTGAAGCTGGGAAAGATTGAAGGTAGGAGGAGAAGGGGATGACAAAGGTTGAGATGGTTGAATGGCATCACCAACTCGATGGACATGAGTTTGAGCAAGCTCTGGGAATTGGTGATGCAGATCACCTGGCAAGGAAGGCAATCAGAGAAGCCTGGCATGCTGCAGTCATGGGGTCGCAAAGAGTCGGACACGACTAAGCAACTGAACTGAACTAAACTGAACTTCCCAGCCAACAGGGGGTATCTGTTCTAACTCCCCAGCCATGGGGGCGTCAGGGAGAAGAGGGGGATGGGGCTTTGGGCTGGGGGAGTTAGAGGAGGAAAGGAAGAGAAGTAGGGGAGGGAAGAAGGCTGGACAGAGATGAGGAAGGGGGCGCTGACAACATAGCCTTAAGCAAGCCATTTTTCTTAAGCTCACTGTCCTCAGTCTATAAAACGAGAAGATGGAACTCAATGATCTGGAATAGTCCATCCCCTCAAAGAGCAAAGGCTCAGGGTGTGAAATACTAGCACACGTTCTGGGGAGAGCTAGGACGGCAGCATTTCCAGAGCACAGGCTGTGCTCAGGGAGGGATGAAAGAGGAAGAGGCCAGTCCTACAAGGCCTGGGAGCCCTGCTCAGAGGGGAGGGGACAGGGACACCACGGTCTGTCTGCCGCAGGTGGAATCCACAGAGCAGACCGTGGATGAATCTTAAACTCACAGAGCTTAGTTTAAAATGCGAAAGGCAACATGAGATACATAATACAACACCATTTATGTCCACATTACACACACACTTGGTAAAAACACATACAAACAGAAACACATTGAGTGCATTACGAGGCTGTATGAGAAGCAGTGTAATATGATGGTGAAGAGCACGGACTCCAGGGCAAAGCTACTTGGACTTGAACCCCAACTGTAACGACTGTCAGCTGGGAGACCAGCCCAAGCCCCTGAGCTCTTTGTGTCACAGTTTCCTCATCTGTAAAATAGGGATGATACTAGTACTGCCTTCATAGGGATTCTGAGAGGATTAAATGACACCTAGAACAGTGCTTAGCACTGAATAAGGGCTATATAAATTTGTTATTAGGAGTATAGGAAATCAGGGATTTCCCTGGTGGTCCAGTGGTCCTCAGAGCTTTCATGGCTATGGGCCTGTGTTCAATCCCTAGTCGGGGCTGGATCCTACAAGCCTCATGGTGCAGCCAAAAAAAAAAGGGGGGGGGGGTATAGGGATTTATTAAGACAGCTAAAACCAAAATGACAGCTATAACAAGGCAAGGATGTGGAGAATTTGCAACCCTCACACACTGGTGGTGGGAATGTAAAATGGCACAGGTACCTGGAAAAGAGTCAGACATTCCTCTAAATGTTAAATATAGAATTACTATATGACCCAGCAGTTCCACTCCTAGGTATCTACCTGCTGCTGCTGCTGCTAAGTCATGTCAGTCATGTCCGACTCTGTGCAACCCCATAGACAGCAGCCCACCAGGCTCCCATCCCTGGGATTCTCCAGGCAAGAATACTGGAGTGGGTGGCCATTTCCTTCTCCAGTGCATGAAAGTGAAAAGTGAAAGTGAAGTCGCTCAGTCGTGTCTGACTCTTCAAGACCCCACGGACTGTAGCCTACTAGGCTCCTCCGTCCATGGGATTTCCCAGGCAAGAGTACTTTAATGGGTTGCCATTGCCTTCTCCCAGGTATCTACCTAAGAGAAATGAAAACATACGTCCATACGCATACGTGTACAGGAATGCTGATAGCAGCATTCAGCATTATTCATAACAGTCAAAGGTGAAAGACACCCAAATGTTCATCCACCAAAGCATAGATAAACTAAATGTGGCATAAGCATACAATGGAAAACTATTTAGTGAAAAACAGGCATGAACTGGGGGACTTCCCTGGTGGTCCAGTGGTTAGGGCTACACACTTCCACTGCAGGGGGAACCTGGGTTGGATCCTTGGTTGGATAACTAAGATTTGCCTTGTGATGCAGTCAAAAAAAAAAAAGCAGGAATTACTGATACAGGCTGCAACATGGATAAACCTTACTAAGTAAAAGAAGCCAGTCACAAAAGACCACATATTACGTGATTCCATTTATACGAAATGTCCCCAGTAGGCAATCCATAGAGACAGTGGTTAGTAGATTAGTGGTTCCCAAGGCTTGGAGGAGGGGATGACATAGGGAGACAGGAAAACATTCTAAAATTAGACAGTGTTAATAGTTGCACAATTCTGTAAATATAGTAAAAACTACTGAATTGTATCCATTCAAAGGATAAATTTTGTGGTATGCAAAGTGCAACTCAATAACATTGTTATTAAAGAAAAGATCATAGAGAGAGAGGCAAGAGAATTGAATCCAGAGTAGGAAAGGGCTGAGAAAGCCATGATAAAGAACCTCAGCTCGATCCCAAAGGTCAGAGAGACACTGACAGATTTTACACAGGACTGTCTGGAATAGTTAAGTGCAGTGAAGTACAAGCAGAATGCTGAAGAATAAAGCTTCTTGAGGTCGCAGAATAAAGGGAGGCTCGAGAGGCAGAGAGACAGATTAGGGGGCTATGATAACCCCGGTGAGAAACGATGAGGATCTGAAGTGAGGAAGTGACCTAAGTGTCAAGACTGAGATGAACTATGGACTTTCCATTGATGAGAAGGCGGGAGCCTGGGGCGGGCAAAGTGAGAGGGTGACAGAGCGACTCGGAGGCAGGTGTGGGCTGCCACAGGCTCAGGTGCTGCTACCGTCTCACTTGTACTCAAACAAACACACAAACCCGAGCCAGGAACACAGGTGTTTTCGGGGCAGAGTGTGTGTTCCAGGTGAGGGGAGGAAGGGGCAGAAGCAGGTGACACCTGGCCCTGCTGACAGTCTTCAGTGACAAGGAAGGGACAGGGTCCCTGTGGGGTGGAGATGCTGCCTCGGGCCCTTCCGTGGCCGGGAAGAGGCAGGGAGTTGGTGCCTGAACTTCGAGGAATGGGGGCGAGCAGAGGCTTCAGAAGGGGACCTCCCTTACTCCTAGCTTCCCCCTCCCCCCAAGCCCTCAGAGAATTGGCAGCAGCCATGATCTCTTTGCAAGGACATTATGAGAGGAGATGTGACTGAAAGAACGCCAGGCAGGCAGTGCAGTAGTGTGAGGGGGACCCTTGGCTCTGGCTGGCCTGGTGTCCAAGGGCAAGTCACTTCACCTGCGTGACTGTCACTTCCCATGAGCCATGAGACCCATGACTCACTGCAGTATATAAAGTGCCCTCAAACTCCTTATCTCTTGCACTCGGAGATAGATGTTATCATCTTCATCGTTCAAGGAAAAGTGCCAAGGGAATTCCCCGTGGTTCAGTAGTTAAGACTCTGAGATGCCACTGCAGGGGGCATGGGGTCAGGGAACTAAGATCCTCCTGCATGCCACCACGTGTGGCCAAAGAAAGAAAAAGTGTCAGAAGGGCAAGGATTTTTCCTTCTTCTTTGATGTATCCCAAATGCCCAGAACAATGACTGACACATAGTCCAGATAGTCAAAAATATTGGTTCAATGAACACTGAAAGAATCTCATTTCCCTCCATTTCACAAATGAATACATAGGCTCTGAAGAGTGGAGTGAAATGCCCAGAGTCACCTGGTCCAGAAGAAACAGACCCGGAGCAAGAACTGAGGGTTAATCCCTGATTCAGTCCATGCTATATCCACCACCCACTGCTACCTGCATTATCTGAGCCAGAGGGGCAGGGAACCAGATGACCTTCCAGGCATTCTCGAGCTTGATACCAGTGAGAAAGAGGCCTCAGGAAAATAGGGAGCCATGCTTCAGTCCTTGGATTCTCAAAGCCAGACTTCAAGCCCGGCCTTCCCAAGGCTCCCATCTGACACTGCCGCAGACCCAGGGAGCAGGGAGCCACCCATGTACTGCAGGGCCGTTCCCCAGGCAAAGGTTTGGACCTGTGGTCAATATTTTCCCTTCCTCCCCACCTGCAGGCATTCAGTTATTCAACCAGCACTCCAAGGTGCCTTCCATGCTGGGTCTCAGGATGGTCCAGCAAAGGAGACCTGGGTTGGGGGGCGCAGAGCAGGAAGCCTGGCAGCAGGGAAGGACTCACGCCTCATTGCAGGAGTCCTGGTTGAAGCGGCAGGTGAAGATGAATTTGCCCAGCACGTCCTCCTCCAGCGAGGGAGAGGTGTCCTGTCTCCGTCTGGACAGAATGTTGATGTAGTGGAAGCGGTACCACTCCCTCACAGCATCCACCCCTGACGAGTACGTCTGATAGAAGCAGTCCGATTTGTTCTGGTTGCACTGGACACAGAGACCAGAGCATCAGAGGACCAGCAGCAAGGGTAAGCAGGGTGGGGCAAGGTCAAGCAATGAATGGTCTGGGGTCCTAATGACTGATAGAAAGGGGCGGGGAGCCAGGCTGGGAGAAGCCAAAGCCTGGAAGACAGCAGACCTGGAGAGCATGGGATTGATGGAGGAGACTGGGAGCTGCACACACCTTGCAGTCATTTATGCAGCCTCTGAGGAGGGTGAAGCAAGGATTCTTCTCCCCATTTCACAGATAGGAATACTGAAGGATCAAGCAGTTTGTCCCAGTATCAAAGAGGGGACTGGAACCCTGGTCTCTGGGTACCGTCTCTCTGCTTCGCTCCCTTTTTTAAAAAATCTTTATTATTATTTTTATTTTAATTGGAGGATAATTTCTTTACAATATTGTGTTGGTTTCTGCCATACAATATGAATCAGCCATAAATATATATATATATATGTATATGTATATATGTGTGTGTGTGCACTTAGTTGATCAGTCATGTAAGACTCTGTGCAACCCCATGAACTGTAGCCTGCTAGGCTCCTCTGTCCATGGGGATTCTCCAAGCTAGAATATTGGAGTGGGTTGCCATGCCCTCCCCCAGGGGATCTTCCTGGGAGGAAGCTCCCCCACCAGGGAGCCTCCGGGGAAGCCCAAGACAGAGAATAGGGAGATGATAGCAAGAAAATTTTAAAAAATAAATAAAGATGGGAGGGAGGCTTAAGAGAGAGGATATATAGATATAGATATAGATATAGATATAGATATAGATATAGATATAGATATAGATATAGATATAGATATATGGGCTTCCCCGGTGGCTCAGTGGTAAAAAAAATCTGCCTATCAATGTAGGAGACCTGGGTTGGCTCCCTGGAGAAGGGAATGGCAACCCACTCCATTATTCTTGCCTGGGAAATCCCATAGACAGAGGAGCCTGGTGGGCTACAGTTTAAGAGGTCGCCAAGAGTCAGACACAACTGAGCAACTAAACAACAATAACAATTCTCTGTCTTGGGCCTGCTGGAGCCCCAATGCCCCATCACCCTGGAAGGTCCCAAGTGAGTCCCACACTGGGGATCAGAATTCAGAAAGAGCATTTCCACAGTAGATCTGACTTCCCATCCCCATAAACACTCCCACAGAGGCCCCCATCGAGGAGCCTCCACAAGCTGGCGCCCAGAGAGACGTTATTTAATTTTAATTTTCAAATTTATTCATATATGTAACCTATTTATTTGCCAGCGCGCCGACTCCCGCCTCCTCATTGGCAGCGAAGGCGGGTCGCGCAGGGCCTGGGGCTGAGCCGACTCCGGCGCGCAGGCGGAACCAGAGGGCTGGAGGGGGGCAGGGGGCGGGGGGCGGGGTCGGGTGGGGCCTTACCAGCTGGAAGCCGATCTTCCAGTCCTTCCTGTTCACCTGGGGGTTGTTGTCCTGCACGCTGGAGCCGGCGCGGCGGACTCTGCGGGCCGCGTGGGGCGGAGCCGGGACGGGCAAGCGCTGCAGGGGGTGCGGCAGCGGCTTCTGCAGGTCGCGGCGGGCGCGGGCGCGGGCGTGGGCCGCAAGGGAGTTGGAGGAGTTGTACTCGTACAGGTCGAAGAGCGTCTGCTCCGTGATGCGGTCCAGCTCCTCCAGCTCCTCTTGAATTTCCTTGTACCTGGAAGGGGCGACGGTGAACGGTCGGACTAGGAGGTGGCGGCCTGGTGACAGTCCTCGCCCCCTCCGCCCCCCACTATCTCCCGTGCCTCAGTTTCCCCGTCTGTAACGGGTGAGATCAGTTCAGCAGAGAAGTCGGCGGGGAATAGCTCTGGGGTCTCCTGGGCTATCTCGGGGGCGAAGGGAGGCGCAGACAGGTGTGTCCGCCTCCAGGTGATTGGAGGCGACAGTGAGCCCCGGCGGGGACGGCATTTATTGCCGCATGTTTATCGTAAGGGAAAGGCGGGAGGTGCTCTCTTCCCACTCGCCCTGGCCTGGAAGGGAACCCGGAACTTGTCTGCCGTTTCCCAGGGCAGAAGAGGGGGTGGCCAGCAAGGCCCAGACACTCACTCCCACGGAACAAAATGGTGCATGGGCCATCCGCCCCGCTCTTCGCGAGGGTGGCCCTTGACCGTCTGTCACTTGACACTTTCTAAATCAGGGAGTCTCAACTGCACTTCTAGAACCTTCCGAGGAACTTTAAAAATACAGGTACCACACACTATCCTTTCCCCGCCCTCCTACACCAAAGACTCAGTTTTAAGGAGTTTCAGGTGGGGCTCAAAAATCGTAAGTTAAACACTGTCCAGTATAAATCCTCACATTCCCTCTCAATACAGGGCCTATATCATCTCCATCATGAAAGTCCAGGCAAAGTAGCAGGGCCTTAGGGATAGAATCTACCAAAACAAACAAAAAAAAAACCTAGGACCGATAAATAAACAGGGTTATGGGATATAAAACCAATATGCAAAAAAATGTTTCTGCATGCTAGCGATCAAAAAAAATGGAAAATGAAATCACAGTACCGTATTAAATAGCATAAACAACATGAAATACTGGGAGTAAATCTGATGAAAGGCGTACAAGACCTGGACACTGAAAATCCTGCTGAAATAAATCAAAGACCAAAATAAAAGGAGTTGCAGCCGTTAGTAGATCAGGAACTCCTATGCCACCTTCCAGATTGCTCTCTAGATTCAAGCTGTGCATGCATGCTCAGTGGAGAAGTTATGTGGGACTCTTTCTGACCCCAGGACTGTAGCTCAACAGGCTCCTCTGTCATGGAATTTTCCAGGCAAGAATACTGGAGTGGGTTGCCATTTTCTTCTCCAGGAGATCTTCCAGACTCATGGATTGAACCTACATCTGCATTGCAGGCGGGTTCATTACCACTGAACCACCCGGAAAGCCCAGATTCAAGCCAAGCCCTATCAAAATTCCAGCAGACATTTTTGAAGAAATTGACGGATCAATTCTAAGATTGCTTTGGAAATGCAAAAATCTAGAATGGCCAAAACAAGTTTGGAAAAGAAGAGCGAAGTTGGAGTGCTTACTCTACCTCAGACTGTAAAGCCATGGTAATCAAAAAAAGTGTAGTGCTTATGTAAGGATAAACAGATCAATGGGACAGAATAGAGTCCAGAAATAAACTCAAATATATATATGGTCAACCTGATTTTTGACCAAAGCACCTGTTCAGCACAATGAGGAAATGTTTTTTTTTTAAAAAAGATGATGCTGGATATTGTATGAAAAAGGAGGGGGGGGGAAAGAACCTCAACCTCTATCTTAGTCTGTATACAAAAATTAAGTCAAGCAATCCAAACAAAAAATTCAGAACCATAAAGATTATAGAAGGAAACATCAAAGATACCTTCACAACCTTGGGGTAGGCAAAATTTCTTAGAATAAAAGATATCTAAAGTAGAAATCCTGAAATATAAAAACCTCTTACAAATCAAAAAGAAAATGACATTGTTTTAAAAAGGAACCCCCCAAATATTCAAATAGTCACTAAACACATGAAAAGATGCTCAATATCATTAGTCCTCAAATGTAAATTAAAACCATAATGAGGTGCCATTTAATATCCATTAGGCTCAAATGAAGAGACTGACGACATCAAGTGTTGGTGAGAATGTGGAGCATCTGAAATTGCTGCTGGCGGGAGTCTAAAATGGTACCGCTGATATGGAGGACAATCCCTCGTGGCTCAGATGGTAAAGAGTCTGCCTGTAATGCAGGAGACTTGGGTTCGATCCCTGGGCTGGGAAGAGCCCCTGGAGAAGGGAATGGCTACCCAGTCAAGTATTCTCACCTGGAGAATCCCATGGACAGAGGAGCCTTTGCGTCCATGGGGTCACAAAGAGTCAGACAAGACTGAGCAACTAACACACACACACATGGTGGTCCTCATGTGCCTAGTCCAAACCTCACAGTCCTCAGCCACCATCTCCCTCATAAAAATCTAGCAGGCTGCCCCTCATCCTCTCATAGGAGAAAAATGTAGCTCAGGTCAAAGGTGTGTGTTTAACATTCTGAGACTTGTTTGTTATTGGTCATTAAAAGAACAGCAATTATATTTTAAATGGATAACCAACAAGAACCTACTGTATAGCACAGGGAACTCTGCCCAGTGTTATGGGGCAGGCAGGATGGGAGAGGAGTTTGGGGGAGAATGGATACATGTGTATGTATGGCTGAGTTGCTCTGCTGTGCAACTGAAACTATTACAACATTGTTAATCAGCTATACTCCAATATAACATTAAAAGTTTTTTTAAAAAAAGCAGTAAAAGTTACAGGAATGGAGTTCTAATCAGCTTCCCAGGTTCATTTCCTAGCCTTACCACTTACCTTCGTGGTGATAAGGATTAAGTGAATTAACATATGAGAAACATAGTAAGTAAAAGAGCTGGCAGAGTGAGTATTGTCTAACTGTAGCTATTGTTTTTATGGTCACAACTGTTCTTCAATAAGAACAATAGTAAAATAATAGTAACCTATTGTTGGAGAAGAGAAAGCTGGGGAGACAGGAGAGCACTGCCTGCCACTCAACTGCCCTGTGATTTTGTGATCTTAACGGAATTAGAGGGACTGCCCTGATGGCCCAGCGGTTGAGAATCCACCTGCTGATGCAGGGAACACGGGCTGGATCTCTGGGAGGGGAAAATCCCACATGGGGCTGAGCAACTTAGCCTGTGCGCCGCAACTGGAGCTCACGCGCCTGGAGCTGGTGTTCCACAAGAGAAGCCACGGCAATGCGAAGCCTGCGCCCCTGTTCGCCACAACTAGAGAAAGCCCGCACATGGCAGCGATGACCAAGTGTAGCCAAAAATAAATTAATTAATTAATATTTTTTTAAAAATGGAGCCGAGGACCAGATGCCAATTCTGATTCGTCCACCTAAACAGTTGGGTGACCTTTGCAAAACCTGTACGTTTCTCAGAGCCTCTGTCTTCTCCTCTGACTCTGGGCTGGTAGTTCCCTCCTTATTCAGTCAGCCTGTGACGAAGATCAGATCATGATAATGGATGCTGAAATGATAGCCTGGTGACTGCTGTCCTTGGAGCCCCTGAACTGATGACCACTGGGCAAAGAAGGAGGAGATGTCTTTAGAGCTGCTTCAAAGACAGAACCAGGGCCAGAGGGCAGAAGTTATGGTAAGGTAAGCTGCAGCTTTACCTAAGGAAGAACTTTCCACCAGCAGAGATAAGTGACATTCCTGACACAAAGGAGTCCATCACTGGGTGGATGGGTGGGGGCGGGGTGCCAGCTCTAAGAGTCTGGGCTTTTTGTCCCTGCCAGGCCTGCCAATGCAGAACCTGCTTTCTAGATCCTGGGGGGAGTCGGGGGCAGCACAGGGTCCACCCCAGGGTCAAGGTTGGATGGCCTGGCTCAGAGCCTTCCCCTCCCTCAATGCAGCTCTCTGGGGGGAAGGAAGGTTCCATGACCTTCTTTGCTGTCCAAGAATGCCACACTCTTCCTTAAAACCAGCCTCAGTCCCTCCCAGGATTGAATGAAAAATATGTGCTCTTGGGCTCTGTTTGCCGAGGATGTGGCTTTGTCTGGCCCCCTCTCTTGGGTGAAAAAAGCCCTTTGTTAACCAGAAAGGGGATGAGGATTGCTGTGGCTGACCTTTCACATTGGACTCTCAACACCTCCTTGCTTAGTATGAAGGTCTTCAGCCTTATCCCCTTTCCTGGCAGTTATAGAACAGCCCAGAATACCCCTCCCCCTCTGCTGGCCACACTCCTGCCACCTGCAGGTGGGCACCTGGGCTGACTTTGCCTCCAGTTATCTCACAAGCTCCTCTATCTCTTCCACGACTTCCACCCCCTCCCTGCTTCCCCGTCCGAGTCACCTATCTTGCCTCTGCCTCCAGCACCCACGCCAGCTAGCAGCATGAGTCACACACAGGTCCCCACCCCCCAGGCTGCATCAACCTGTCCACCCACCCCTGCTTGTCTCCTGGAACAGGAACCAATAACCCGGATCCTTCCCTTCTCCCCTCTCCCTCCCTCTGGACTCCGGCTGCTCCCCACAGGCTCCCACTAGCCCCCACCTCTGGACACCTTTGCCTGGCCCTTCCTTAAACTGCAATGGGAGAAAGAACTTTGAAAGCAAACATACTTGGTCTTCGACTCAGCCACTGCTCCTAGATTCACTGGCTTCTATGGGGGGGGCAGCAGATTTTTGAATCTGTTTCACCACTAGTTCCCTGTGTGAACTTAGGCGATTACTTAACCTCTCTGGGCCTCAGTTTCCTCATCTATAAAATGGGAGTAATACTGATATCTACCTAAGAGATCTGTTGTGAAAATTAAATCATTTGATTAATATAAATTTTTTTTTGTTTGGCACATATTAAGTACTATGTGTGTTAGCCATTATCATTGGTGTTTTTTCTTTCTTTCTTTCTTTCTTTTTTTTGGCCACACCCTATGGCATGTAAGGTCCTAGTTCCCTGACCAGGAATTGAACTGGCATCCTCTGCATTGGAAGTTCAGAGCCTTAACCGTTGGACTGCCAGAGAAGTTCTCGTTGTTATTTTTTATTATTACTTGCTGTTTGACCCTGCTCACTTCACCTCTACTTCCTCATCTGCAAAATGGAAATAATAATGATGCCTGTCTCCATGGACCTGTCAAGATTAAATGAGGTAGTACTTAGAGAACTCCCAGTGCAGGACCGAGCACATAGTAGGGGCTCCATATCCTTCCCTGGCTTTGAGGCGCCTTCTCTGATTCCCCTCCTATCCAGCATGCTGGGTGTCTCCCCACTAACTCCTGCAGGAGGGATTGTTTCAATCGGTGAGAACACTTGCCTCCCAGCCTGCAAGCCCCAGAGGCCAGGGCTCTGGTTTTCATTCCCTGGGGCGTTTTCCTCTACTGCCCAGGGCCTTGCACCCTGCAGAACCTTGGAAAATATGCAGGCCTCAACAGATTTATCCTTGCACTGTCCATCTGTCACCCACATCTTTCAACCACAGTCTTTATTGAGAGCCTACTATTGGCTAGTTCCTCCTGCCTGCCTGCCCTCCCCTCCCCACTGCCCCAGGGGATGAGGGTGGGGGAAGTAGGGGAAGGAAGAGGGCTGGGAGCACTGAGGTTGGGAAGAAAAGAAGCAAAGCCGCAGGCACCAGGGAAGAGAAAGAAGGCTGAGAGAGAGAATAAGACAAGCTCAGAAATGTGATGTAGGGACTTCCCTGGTGGTCCAGTGGTTAAGACTCTGCCCTCCCGATGCAGGTTTGATCCCTGATCAGGGAACTAAGATCCTACATGCTGCACAAAACAAACAAAAATCAAACAAAAAAACCCAGACAAACGAATAAGAAATGAGATGTAACATTTGAGCAGGAACTCTATTATTCCACATCCATATTTTGGGTATTAAGAAGAGGCAGGGGTTTGCAATCAGGCAAACAGGGTGGAAAAGACCGGTGATGCTGGGAAAGATTGAAGGCAGGAGAAGTGGGCAACAGAGTATGAGATGGTTGGATGACATCGCTGACTCAATGGGCATGAGTTTGAGCAAACTCAGGGAGAGAGTGGACAGGCAAGCCTGGGGTGCTGCAGTTCATGGGGTTGCAAAGAGTCAGACACGACTTGGTGACTGAACAACCGCCACCACAAACAGGGAAAGTCACAGTGGAGTCTGTGACCTTGTGCCTTAGCTCTCTCTGCCTCAGTTTCCTCAAGTGTAACCCAGGAATAATAACAGTATCTGCCTCAAACGATTGTTGAAAGAATTAAAGAGCTGCCCGAGGAGTTCTTAACTGCATCCAGTGGTTTGGTGCATGAAGCAGCTTCTCAGTAACTGGCCTCTTAACCTGGGCCTCATCAGGAGGAGGAAGGCCTCATATCAGTGAAGTGGCAGAGCAGTGTTTTCTCTGCAGGACAGGATGTCCCAACCCTGATCAGCTCATGACACACCTCTGGGTACGACAGACTACACCACCCCTGATATGTGACCAATCCCACTCACTTGCAATTGCACGCACACCTCATTTGTTTGCTCACGCACATTCATGTGATCACATACACACTAGCTCATAAACCTTACACTCTGACTCTAGCTTACAATGTTTATGGTACCTGTCACAGTGCGCTGAGGTTATTTGTTTGTATGCCTATCTCTTCCATCTTATCTTTCAATACCTAGCAAAGTACTTGGCCTTCAGCAACGATTGTAGGAATTATTGATGAACCCATTCCCTGGGTGCCTAGAGCCGTGTCTGGCCTGCCGCAGGTGTCCCAAGATGTGAGGTGTGGCAGGACCGAGTGACCACACAGAAAAGGTGTGTGTAAACACCCAACCCTGCCCTCCTGTCTTCTCCATGGTTACCTCTACCCCCTCTGGCTTCCAAACCGAAAATTGGCAAAGAACGCTGGTGAAACCCAAAACTTCAGGACACACCCAAACACTGCACCTGGACAGGTACTGCACAGCTCAGCAGGGTCACCTGGGCCTTTGGGGGAACAGCCTAACCAGAGCAGCTTCTATCCTGTCCTGTTGTCCTGGCTCTGTGACTACACCCCAACTCAGCCCCCAACCCCCCCTCGAGGCTAATGCAAGCCTCCACCACCACCACCACTCCCACACTTTGCTTTCCCCAACACAAACTGCCCTTCTCAACCCAGACCACCCTGCCAGGGCCCAGTCCCAGCCAGCTCCCACCACCACCACTACCGCCCCCCCACCACACCTGCAATCTTCTCGTGGCAGGATCTCCATCAGATTCATCTCCTGATAAGGAGGAGGGGCTGATTCCTACCCTGCCTTTCTGAACTTATCAGCATCTCGACCTCATCCGCGCTCCCTCCCACTTTCAGTAGGATGAAGGTGTGGAGGAGGAGACTGTCGGTCCAACAAGCCCGCTCTGGAGAAGGCCCAGGCACTAGGAAGTCTCCCCTGGGCAGAGTGGCCGGCCCATCACGTCGAGGGCTCCCCTCTCCTGCCCAGAGGGACGTCTGACTCAGGTTACCTGTAGGGGTTTAGGGTGCAGATGGAGACAGCGGGGAAGATGAGCTTGTCCGAGTTGAGGTTGATGTTGAGGCTGACGGGATAGCTGAAGTACTCTCCGAAGAGCTGGCCGAATTGCCAGTACATCATGCCGAAGGTACAGAGCCAGAGCACGGCCCAGAAGACTGTCTTCATGCGGTTGTGCTGTGAGCACACCAAGCGGATGGCGCCATGGATGGTGGTGTTGTTGCAGAAGAACTCGAAGAGCTCCCGGTAGGAGCGGTGGAACTCGAGCAGGGCCTCCTCCTCCTCCGTGGGCGGCGGGGGGCCCGAAGGCTCGGGGCCCGGCCCTGGCTCCTCAGGCTTGTCTCCCTTCATGAGCCCTTGTGGGGGTCGGGGAGGGCAAGGGGCCGGGCTGAGTTCTGGGTTCTGGGTGCCTCCTCCATCCTCATCAGCTGGGGCCCGTGCCCTCATCCCACTCTCCTCCCACCCATTGCCCACTTTCTCCCCCTCCTCCCCGGGCCCCGTCCCCGGGAGCCTGCTGACCTGCCAGAGTCTGGTCAGAATTGCTGGAGCCGAGCCTCCCTTGAGTGGCCTCTCTGCCTCCCTGATAAGGCTCCCTTTGGTTTCTGTCCTAGACTCTCCTTGTCTGTATCCTCTGTCTCCTCTGTTCAGTCAATCTCTGTCTTTGGTCTTCTTCCTCCAATATCTGTGTCTTAGCTTCTCTCTGCCTCCGTCTCTCTCTTTCGGTCCCTCTCTCTGTCTTTCGCTTCTCTTCAGGTCTCTCGGCTCTCTTTCTTGCCTGTTTCCTCTCCGGGTGTCAGGCTCTCCGATCTTGCCCCTCTTCCTCTCCCTCCCCACCCGGCCCTCTCTCCCCTGAGGTCTGGATTCTCTCCTCTGGCCCCCGGGCCTGACCTCGGGCTGTGACCTGACTCCCTCTCGGTCCCAGGGACGGCCGGGCTCTGAGAGGTCTGGGCTGCCTTCTGCTTCCCACTCCCAGGTTGTGGCTGGACTGGGACTGGTTCCTTTCCAGTTGAATCTGGCAGCCCGGCTTCTCCTCCCCCTCACCTGACAGGTGCAGCAGCCAGACTGGGGAGCCCGCCCGCCGGGCCGGGATGGAAGCCGCAGAAGCCTCATTAGCATCTCAATTAAAGGTGAGCCGGGCAGGAGGAGGGGCCGAGGAGGAGCCAGAGCTGAGAGCTCTCCCGAGGGAGGAGGGCTCCTGAGGGCAGGTGACCTGCAGCACCCGGACTGGAAAAGCGAGAAGAAAAGTCAGAGCTGGGAGTCCTGGGGAGCCAGCAGGCAAGGAGACCGGGAGACAAGAAGGCAGGCAAGGGATGGAGGTCTTGAACCTGGAGGTGATGCTGAACGCAAAGACAGGAGGGCAAAGCAAGGAAAAAGGACAAGTCAGGATGAGTGAAACTAAGGTGTGGGGACCAGGAGAACAGGGAAGGCCAGATAGTGGAGGTGGGTGGATGGAGGAGAGGGGTAAGGACCGGGAGGGAGGGATGGATGGAGGACAGGCAGAGAAAGGGGGGTGAGGAGGAGGGAGCCAGCCCCAAAAGGAGTCCCCCTCCCCCACCACTGAAGGAGAGGCAAGGAGAGGGACTGCCCCCAGTGGGCTTCCAAGAACCAGGGCCCCTCCCTGGGGAATCCTTCCAAGGGCACCCCTAGGTCAGCCTCACCCCTGGACCCTGGAGAAGAAGGAGGCAAGGCCCGCAGGCTTCCTCCCTGCTCACTAAGGTGTGAACACCTCCCGACCCCGCCCAGGAGCACCCCTCTGCCTCTCCCAGCTGGTCCTGCCCTCCTGACCCCTCACCCCCACCCCGAGCCTGTCCAGCCCTGGGAGGGGCCCAGGTGCAGCTGGGGGCTGGGCGGGGCCCTGGGACATTCTGTTCCTTTTTACACCATTGGCTGCCGGGCCAGGAATGTGTCGCGTCCCCAGTTGTGATCACGGGGTTGCTGGAATGTGTGCTTAGAGAAGAGGGGCCACCAGGGCACTCGGGCAGAGCCTCGGAGCCCAGGGATAGCGGGCACCGAGGAGGCAGAAGGGATTTGGCCGTGAAGAGAGTGGGGAGAAAGAAGCTGAGCCTGGCCCAAGGCTGCACCAACCCTGGAAGGAAGGAAAAACTCAACATGGGGGCCGTGGTTTTCCTCCAAAATCTCTGCCCCAGACAACCCAGCAAGAGAATAGAGTGAGGGACCAAGCAGAAAAGGGGGAAGGGGTCAGAGAAGGGCCCAGGAGGCACTGAGACCCAAGTACACAGCCCAGGCCAGAGGTCTGTCACTGTGACCCCGAAGGAGGTAGCCACTGGCTCCTCTCGCCTCCGGGAGAAGGGGGGCTGGGACATGCAGACAGGCCCAGCCTGAGCCTGGGTGCAGCTGGATAGGAGAAGACAGGCCCTCGAGGTCATGAAGTCATAAGACAAGGATCCTGGTAACAGAGAGCGGAGCCAAGTGCTGAGGGAGCCTGGGGGTGAGGCGGAAGGGAAAGGCACTAACCCAGGAGATTCAGGAAGACTTCCCGGAGAAGGCGGCATCTCAGCTGGGTCTTGCAAAACAAATGAAGGCTCCCATCTGTGGCCGGTCCCGTGGCCCCTTAAAGCGAGAGCTGCTGTCGGTCAGGCTTCCAAACCGACCCCATCGCTTCCCCAACGCCTTAGGGGACCCCTCTGTGGAGAAGGGAAAGGCTGGCTTTTTCTTCATTTTCCAGATGAAGAAAGTACCCTCCACAAAGACAGGCCAGTTTTCTGTGGACGCAAAACCAAACAGCAGTAGCATGAAGAAGAGAAGCAGAATTCTTCTTCAGTAAGTAGGGGGTTGTCTGCTTAGGGCTTTTGCCACACACCCCGAGACAGACCAGCCACAGACTTGTGGGGAGCCGGGGCTCCCCTGCACCTTGTTTTGAAAGTCAGGCAGGTTCACATACTCCCACCAGCCATCTGGGTCCTGGACTGTCTCCCAGGCTCCCTAAGAAGCTCTGTCTACTATCCCCGCCTTCCCAAAGGACATCCTACCAACAGGAGGAGTAGCCAGCACCCTGCCTGTCCCATCTCAGAGGTTCAAAGAGACACGTCCCTGCCACGTCTGTTTGCCAGTTGATGCCTGAAATCTAGTCACTGGCCCAAGGCTGCAAGACAAATAGTTTTACCTTCAAAGCTTCAGTGAGCAGGATCGCAAGGCCCAGTCTGGGCTGAGCTGGGGAGCGAGCCCAGTGTCCCCGAAGCACCTGCTGAGGTGTGGCAGCTTAGAGACAGCAGCATTCCAGATCTGGAATGGGCCAGAGCAAGCTTGTTCTGGTGAAAAAAAATGGAAACCTGAGGCCTGCACCTGTGTCATAGCTCCGTTTTAAATATTATCTTTTAAGGCACAGGGGAAAAAAAAACCTGAACACATTTTCCTCACAACACAGTTTTCCAATAACACAGAAGTTTGCAGATCAATAAAAGCCTCTCAGTCCCCTTCCATTCCCACCCCTCAACTCTGGGTGCCACTGTCATTTGTGTCCATCTGTATCTCTTTTGGGTGCTTTTATAGACTTCCATGTATTTTTAAAAAACAAAATATATAGCTTTTCCATAAATGGGACCATATTATAGGCATCATTCTATGATTTCCATTTTTACTTTTAAACTATGCGACTTCAGAAATGACACTCAGGACCTCCCTGACTCTGAGCTCCCAAAGCAGAGGGTCCAAGTTTGACCCCACACACCACAACTAAGAGTTTGCATGCCACAACTAAAGATCTCACATGCTGCAACTGAAAAAAGAACCCAAATGCCATAATGAAGGTCAAAGATCCAAAGTACAGAACACCTAGTGCAGCCAAATGAATTAATTAATTACTTTTTAAAATGACACTTTGCCACTATGGGGCCCAGGCTTCTCAAGGAGAGAGCAGGAGGGTGGAGTGTGTAAGGCAGCCCAGGTGGTTGCCAAAGTCCTTTCCAGCTGGCTCTGCATATAGCCAGTATGGAGGTTCCTTAATAATCTAAAAATAGAGATACCATATGATCCAGCAATCCCACTCCTGAGCATGTATCCAGTGAAGACAAAAACTAGTTTGAAAACATACGTGCAGCACAGGGTTCATAGCAGCTCTGTTTACAATAAGCAAGGCACAGAAACAAGCCAAGTGCCCATCAACAGACAGTTGGTTTAATAAGATGCGGGGTGTGTGTGTGTGTGTGTGTGTGTGTGTGTGTGCGTGTGCGTGCGCGCATGTGTGTACATATAAATATATACATATGTGAATATTACTCAGCCATAAAAAAGAATGGAATACTGCCGTTTGCAGTAACTTGGGTGGACACAGAGGGTATCATACTAAGTGAAATAAGACAGAGGAAGGAAAATAATTGTTCAGTTCAGTTCAATCGCTCAGTCATGTCTGACTCTCTGCAACCCCATGGACTGAAGCACACCAGGCCTCCCTGTCCATCACCAGCTCCCGGAGTTTACTCAAACTCATGTCCATCGAGTCAGTGGTGCCATCCAACCAATTTCACCCTCTGTCGTCCTCTTCTCCTCCTGTCTTCAATCTTTTGCAGCATTCAGAGTCTTTTCAAATCAGTCCGTTCTTCACATCAGGTGGCCAAAGTATTGAAGTTTCAGCTTCAGCATCAGTCCTTCCAATGAATATTCAGGACTGATATCCTTTAAGATAGACTGGTTGGATCTCCTTGAAGTCCAAAGGACTCTCAAGAGTCTTCTCCAACACCACAGTTCAAAAGCATCAGTTCTTCATTGCTCAGTTTTCTTTATAGTCCAACTCTCATATCCATACATGACTACTGGAAAAACCATAGCTTTAACTAGACGGACCTTTGTTGGCAAAGTAATGTCTCTGCTTTTAAATATGCTGTCTAGGTTGGCCATAACTCTTCTTCTAAGGAGCAAGCGTCTTTTAATTTCATGGCTGCAGTCACCATCTGCAGTGATTTTGGAGACCAAAAAAATGAAGTATGTCACTGTTTCCACTGTCTCCCCATCTATTTGCCATGAAGTGATACTTTGGACACCTGATGCGAAGAGCTGACTCATTTGAAAAGACCCTGATGCTGGGAAAGATTGAGGGCAGGAGGAAAAGGGGACGACAGAGGATGAGATGGTTGGATGGCATCACCGACTCGATGGACATGGGTTTGGGTGAACTCTGGGAGTTGGTGATAGACAGGGAGGCCTGGCGTGCTGCAGTTCATGGGTCACAAAGAGTGGGACACAACTGAGCAACTGAACTGAACTGAACTGAACCGATGAGACCGGATGCCATGGTCTTAGTTTTCTGAATGTTGAGCTTTAAGCCAACTTTTTCACTCTCTTCTTTCAATTTCATCAAGAGACTCTTTAGTACTTCTTCACTTTCTGCCATAAGGGTGCTGTCATCTGCATATCTGACGTTATTGATATTTCTCCCGGCAATCTTGATTCCAGCTTGTGCTTCATCCAGCCCAGCGTTTCTCATGATGTACTCTGCATATAAGTTAAATTAGCAGGGTGACAATATACGGTCTTGATGTACTCCTTTCCCAATTTGGAACCAGTCTGTTGTTCCATGTCCAGTTCTAACTCTTGCTTCCTGACCTGCATACAGGTTTCTCAAGAGGCAGGTCAGGTGATCTGGTATTTATATCTCTTTAAGACTTTTCCACAGTTTGTTGTGATCCACAGAGTCAAAGGCTTTGGTATAGTCAATAAAGCAGAAGTAGATGTTTTTCTGGAACTCTCTTGCTTTTTTGATGATCCAACAGATGTTGGCAATTTGACCTCTGGTTCCTCTGCCTTTTCTAAATCGAGCTTGAACATCCGGAAGATCATAGTTCATGTACTGTTGAAGCCTGGCTTGGAGAATTTTGAGCATTACTAGCATGTGAGATGAGTGCAATTGTGTAGTAGTCTGAACATTCTTTGACATTGCCTTTCTTAGGGATTGGAATGAAAACTGACCTTTTCCAGTCCTGTGGCCACTGCTGAGTTTCCTAAATTTGCTGGCATATTGAGTGCAGCACTTTCACAGCATCATCTTTCCAGATTTGAAATAACTCAACTGGAATTCCATCACCTCCACTAGCTTTGTTTGTAGTGATGCTTCCTAAGGCCCACTTGACTTCACACTCCAGGATGTCTGGCTCTAGATGAGTGATCACACCATTGTGATTATCTGGGTCGTGAAGACCTTTTTTGCATAGTTCTTCTGTGTATTCTTGCCACCTCCTCTTAATATCTTCTGCTTCTGTTAGGTACATAACATTTTCTGTCCTTGATTGTGCCCATCTTTGCATGAAATGTTCCCTTGGTATCTCTAATTTTCTTGAAGAGATCTCTAGTCTTTCCCATTCTGCTGTTTTCCTCTATTTCTTTGCATTGATCACTGAGGAAGGCTTTCTTATCTCTCCTGGCTATTCTTTGGAACTCTGCATTCAAATGGGTATATCTTTCCTTTTCTCCTTTGCCTTTGGCGTCTCTTCTTTTCACAGCTATTTGTAAGGCCTCCTTAGACAACCATTTTGCCTTTTGCATTTCTTTTTCTTGGGGATGGTCTTGCTCCCTGCCTCCTGTACAATGTCACAAACCTCCGTCCATAGTTCTTTAGGCACTCTATCAGATCTAATCCCTTGAGTCTATTAGTCACTTGTACTGTATGATCATAATTGATTTGACTTAGGTCATACCTGATGGTCTTGTGGTTTTCCTACTTTCTTCAATTTAAGTCTGAACTTGGCAATAAGGAGTTCATGATCTGAGATCACTAATGTGGAATCTAAAAAATAATACAAATGATTCTATATACAAAATAGGAACAAACTCATAGGCATAGAAAACAAAGTTCTGGTTGCCAAGAGGGAAAGAGAGCAGGGAGTGGTAAATTAGGGGTATAGGATTAACAGATACCCATTACTACACATAAAATAGATAAACAGCAAGGGCCTACTATATAACTCAGGGAATTATAATTACTATCTTATAGTAACCTATAATAGGAAAGAATCTGGGAAAATAACTTTGCGGTACACCTGAAACTGGGCTTCCTTGGTGGCTCAGCAGCAAAGAATCCACCTGCCAATGCAGGAGACTTAGGTTCAATCCCTGGGTTGGGAAGATCCCCTGGAGAAGGATATGGCAACCCTCTCCAGTGTTCCTACCTGGGAAATCCTACTGACAGAGGAACCTGACAGGCTACAGTCTGTGGAGTCACAAAAGAGTTGGAAATGACTTAGCAAATAAACAACAACACCTGAAACTAATACAATATTGTAAATAAACTAAACTTCAATTTTTATAAATGTCTTTAAAAAACAGAAAAATGGATCTAAAGTCAAAACGCATACATATCTTTCTGCATTTATTTGCTCCAGTCCCAGTCTCCATTTCCTAGACCTGAGCTGTGCATGCCCGTTCTGACACTTCTTCCCCCCGGGGCAGCCCAGGACATTCACTGGAAGAATACAAGTCCTGGGCCTGTACCAGGAGAGAAGAGAGGTGTCTAGAACTCAGGCAGGCCACTTCACTCTTTTGTGATTCCCCTGACCCCACAGGTGCACCCCTGCCCAGGGCTCCCCTGCTTCTCCACCAGGAGCCTGTCCAGCCAGTCAGACCAACCAGGGTAAGAATGTACGCCCAGCGAGTCAACCGCTCATGCCTAGAGGGGCTCCCCTGAGTCATGAGGAGGCAGTTGCTGGACTGAGCTAGGACCCAGACATCTGGAGCCCAGACTCTAGGCTCACTTTGCCATGGACTGGCTATGTGACTTGGGCAAGGTATCATCAGATTAGTCCATAAATATGTACTGGCCACGTGGTCCACACCGGACTCTGTGCGAAGCTCCCTGAACCCAGACTTGCAGTTCCAGGGCAGGCTGTTGTCAAGCACGACAGGCCAGTGGCCGGCGGACGATAAGCAGCGGGCCACAGGGACGGGTCTGGGCGGAGTGGCTGGGCAGCCCAGGGTGAGGTGCCCCCCAAGCCCAGGTGAGCCTCAGTGACAGGTGGGAGTCAGCCAGGAGCACGGAAACGTGGAAACCAGACTCCCTGGAGTGGGCGGGGGGAGGGCGAGGATGCCCTAATGAATTGCAGGGAAATGGTAGGAAGAAACAGGGCAGGGGCCAGACCAAGCCCTCCTGAAATCCTGGTCTCTTTTACATAGCATCCTGGCCTCAGGGTCCTCATCCTTAAGGTGAGAGGCCTGGACAGGCAGGCTGTCAGCTCAGGGATCCAAAGGCTCCAAGGTGAGGTCTCAGGACTGAGGGGAGTGGTTGCCCAGCCCCGGCCTGGCCACCCTGACCATGGGAACTTCACATCCCCGCATTCTCTGAGGACATGGGGGTGGGGGGGGGGAAGGGCAGGGGCTGCTGTACCCTCTGGAGTGTCTCCTAGGTGACATATGCCCTCCGCTCTATGGGTTGGGTTGACTCAGGGGAGGGGGGGGGGGCAACTCTTTTGCAGTTTATTTTAAAAATTCATACAACAGGGTGGGAACCCAGGAGTCCAGCAAGTCTGCCAAGAGGGACTTCTGGTTCCCAGATGCTGGTCTGGCTGGCTGTCCATGGCTCCCTGTGGGTCTCTGCACCCTCCAAGTCTGACAGTCCCAAGCCCATCCATTTTTTCTGATCTGGTCAGACACAGCTCTGTCTGGAACTCCATCTGTTCCCGGGTCCCCTCTGCCCCAGCCAGGTTCCCAAGTGACCATCCGAGGATCATCCGCTGGCTCCGCCACCCCTTTCCCACCAGCCGGCCCAGCCTGGCCTGCATCCTCCTCTCCAGTCAGGCCTGCGGAGAAGGGAGGAGGCCCCGGTTCCGGCCCTGCTGCCCTCACGTGCTTTCCCGGCCGCCCCTCCCGCCCTGCGTCGTCGGCCAGCCAAGCCTGTTCCTCTTCCCGATTGCGACAGAGGCCGCCCGGGCTCCAGCAGCTCCCTGTCCCCGCCCCGCGCCGGCCCTCCACTCCCACTTCCTGAGCCCCGGCGCTGGCGCTGGAGCCCTGGAGGCCAGGCCAGGCCCGGCCACTCCGGCCCCCGGGGTGCGTCCGTCAAGTCCTGTCCCAGCCTCCGGGCTCTGCCACCACTGGCCCGGACGTCCAGGCTTCCACCTCCCTCCCAGGCCTCCATCCATCTGCTCGGCAAGCAGGCTGACTGGTCGCCATGCGCCTGCCGTGGGCCACCTCCCACCGCGGCCTGGCCTGGGGGCTACTCATCCTGGGCATCTGGGGTCTCCTGGCCGCATCCCAGCCCCAGCTGGTGAGGGGGGGGCCCATGCAGGTAGGTGGGGGCGGGCTTGGCTAGGGGAGAGGGGGTATGGGCCATCCTCTCTGATGTCCCTCTGCTCCTCCCAGCTGACCCCTGAATAATTCACCCTCCTGATTCCATCTCCTCTTGAAGGGGCTCCCATACCACACGGAGAACCAAAGCTGCGGAGACCAGGAAAAGGAATACTACAATTCCAAGCATCGCCTCTGCTGCTCCCGCTGTCCCCCAGGTGAGAGGCCAGGGCCAGAGGAAGTCTGGGACGGGGAGGCGGGTAGAGGGTGCTCCAGCCCGCCTTGCTGCCTCAGATAGACACTGGACACCAGCTCCCAGGGAAATCAGCTGGCAGAAAGAGAGCGAGAGACACTGGCCGGCCATCCTATGTAGGCACCGGGACAGGCCCAGGGTCACGTAGCGAGCAGCAGAGGGCACCGTGGGAACCCCAGTCCCCTGACTGTCCTCCTGCCCGCTCACAACCTAGGCACATACGTCTCCACTGAATGTAGCCACCACCAGAACACTGTCTGTGCCACGTGCCCCGAGAATTCGTACAACGAGCACTGGAACCATCTCTCCTTCTGCCAGCTGTGCCGCCCCTGTGACAAGAGTGAGTGGGGTGTTCTGAGGTGGGGGTGGGGGCTTGGATGTCCTGGAGTGCGGCCACTGGGCCGAGCACCCACCTCATCACCCCCGCAGTGCTGGGCTTCGTGGAGATCATGCCTTGCACCAGTGACCGCAAGACCCAGTGCCGCTGCCAGCCGGGGATGTACTGCGTCTTTTGGAACTCTGAGTGTGAGCACTGCGAGCCACTCTCCAACTGCCCGCCTGGCACCGAAGCCGAGCTCAAAGGTCAGAGGTCACTGGCAGCAGAGGGTGGGAAGGAGGCTGGGCGGGCACTCTTGAATGGGTGCAGGGTGCTGTGTCCATGGTGACGCCCCAGATGGCTAGTTCTCTGTGTAATAAAATGCTTTTCCCTCCCTGAGAAAGGCTCACAGATGGAACCTGCAGAGAAAGGGAGTTGGGACGGTGCAGGGTTCGAGGTCCTCCCAGCACTGAGAGGAAGCTGGGCAATGGGGAGAGAAGGAAAGATGATGCGGAGTACAGACTGGGGAGGGTGGGTGGGGAGGGGGCCGTCCAGCAGGCGTCACAGAAGCCCACGGCTGGACGGAAGCCCCCTGTGCCCACTCACCCTGGCTGCCCCGCGCTTCTCTCCTGCCAGATGAAGTCACGGAGGCTAACAGCAACTGTGTCCCCTGTAAAGCTGGACACTTCCAGAACACCTCCTCTCCCACCGCCCGCTGCCAGCCCCACACAAGGTGAGCGTGCCCAGTCTGCATTTCTCCCGCCCTCACAGCACCAGCCGATGACAGTCCACCTCATGCTCAGCTCCACAGACCAGCTCCACTCCCAGCCGGAAGCCCCCCTGAGCTGGGCTCTTTCCTCCACAGGTGTGAGGACCAGGGCCTCGTGGAGGAAGCCGCAGGCACCGCCCAGTCTGACACCAGCTGCAGAAATCCACAAGAGCCCCCCGACATGCCAGGTGAGGGCCCAGGGGCATGGGGAGGGGCATCTGGGAAGATGCCTTAATTCCACCCACCTAAAAAAACAGAGAAATGATGAACCCTTTCCTCTCAGAGCTGCAAGAAGAAGCTCCTCAAAGAAACAATGGCGTATCCCTGGGCCAGGTTACTTACACACACATACATGCACTTTTAAAGTTATATGTTCTACATATAACTTAAAAGTTACATACAATATTACATCTACACAGAGACATAGATATAGATATAAACTATAGATATATAGATATAGATATAACTGTGCCTGATATCACTGTCATCATTTTGGACATGCCACCCTCACATAACCCAGTTACTGAGTGTAGTAGGTTACACCTTCCATCACTAGAGAGAAGATTCTACATTTGATGCTTTCTTGGTCTCTTCTGTGGAATTATTGCTTTCCTTGCCTGAAAGAGGATTATGCATGCTTGTGCTTAGTTGCTGCCGTTGTGTCCCAGTGGACCATAGCCCTCAGGCTTCTCTGTCCATGGGATTCTTCAGGCAAGAGTACTGGAGTCGGTTGCCATGCCCTCCTCCAGGAGATCTTCCCCACCAAGGGATCGAACCCGAGTCTGCTGCATTGCAGGCAGATTCTTTACTGTTGAACTACCGGGGAAGCCTTATGGAGAATTATAGGATGTTTCTAATGACTGTCATTGTTATTAATCAGGGGAAAATTTATTTCCTTAATTTTAAAAAATGGCTGAGCATTGATAATCATAGCTTCCATTTAATAAGAGCTAGTGCGTCAGACACTCTGTGGACTTGACTTTCACTAACTCATTTAAACCTCGTAATGATCCTATGAAATAGTCCTATTGTTATCCTTACTGACAGATGAGGAAACCAAAGCCCAGAGAGGTTAGGTGACTTGCCCAAGATCACCCATGTGGTAGTTGGTATTATGAAGACCTGTTCTAGGTCTTTCTTGCTCCAAAACCCATGCCATAATACATGCAGACTGTAGAAGATTAGAAAATTCAGATAAACAAAACTAAACCTCACCTGCAGAACCATCAGCTGGCATATCCACACAACACTTTTGAATATATCTTCCCTGACATTTTTCCACACAATAGAAAAAAACATTTTTTCTAAAAGTGGAGTCATTTGAATGTTTGTAACTTAATTTTTTATCCAACTATATCATAACCTTTTCTACATTCTATTATTAATTTTTAACTGTGTATCAAAAATGATTGGCTTTTTTTTCTTTTTTCTTTTGTATTGGGGTATTGCTGATTAGGGCTTCCCTCATAGCTTAGTTGGCAAAGAATCTGCCTGCAATGTAGGAGACCTGGGTTAAATCTCTGGACTGGAAAGATCCCCTGGAGAAGGAAATGGCAACCCACTCCAATATTCTTGCCTGGAGAAGCCCATGGACAGAGGAGACTCGAAGGCTATAGTCCATGGGATTGCAAAAGTCGGACATGACTGAGCGACTAAACCACCACCAGGGGCTTCCCTGGAGGCTCAATTGGTAAAGAATCTGCCTGCAGTGCAGGAGACCTGGGTTCAATCCTCGGTTGGGAAGATTCCCTGGAGAATGAAATAGCAATCCATTCCAGTATTCTGGCCTAGGAATTCCCATGGACAGGGGAGCCTAGTGGGCTGCAGTCCATGGGGTCTTAAAGAGTCGGACACGACTGAGCAACTAAACCACCACCACCAGAATTGATTAGCAATGTTGTGATAGTTTCCGGTGCACAGCAGAGGGACTCAGTCATATATATATACCCATTCTCCCCCAAACTCCCCTCCCATCCAGGCTGCCACAGAACATTGAGCAGAATTCCCTGTGCTATACAGTAGGTCCCTGTTGGGTATCCACTCTAAATATAGCCATGTGTACGTCTCCATTCCAAAGTCCCGAACTATCCCTTCCCCCCATCCTTCCCATCAGCTGGCATATCCATGGAACACTTCTGAATATATGCTTCTTTGGAAGCACACATCTTCTGATGCTAATAGGTCTTCATGTCCTTGGCTCTGTAATTCTCAGATTGGTATTTAGAGCTGGACTTTCAGAGAGTACGCAAGCTAATCTCCTCATTTTGTATATGAAAAACACACAACTGGGCAGGAACCCAGGTGTCCAAGACCCTCGGTCTAATTCTTCCCCACACTTCCCATTCTGGACTCACTTAGGCCACAGAATTAGATGGACCACCAACGGTGAACTCCCAGTGTCCAAGTCCTCCTGTGTTTCCGCAGGAGCAGGTGAGAGAAAAAGTGGCTGGCACAGTGGACCCATGCTGTCAATGGCAGCACAAGGCCCACAAGAAGACAACGGTTGCCCATGGCTATACACGGACGCCTGAGAAGCCCAGCCTCCCCTTCCCTCCCACTCCTGGGAGCTGCCCCAAGCAAGCCAGTGGACATCCAGCAGCCCCCCTCATCCAGGCAGCCAAAACAGGCAGAGTTCAGCAGCTGGGACACTGACTCTGTCACCCCTGTAAACACTCCCATGGCTACAGAAGGACAGGTTCAGCTCCTACTGCTGTTTATCTTGCTGTCAGATAGTCACATCTGCAGAAACATGGCTTTACCCCGCAGCCTGAGTCTGCTCACAACCCCAAGCCCACCCTCCCCTACTGCCTCCCACTCCCATTTCCAGCCCAAGTGCCTGTCCTCACCCACAGGGCTGCCCCTGTGCCGGTGGCCAGCCACACTCACCCCAAACATCTCCATCCGAGGCAGAGCCTCCTGATTCTCCTGGTTCTCGGTGAGGGGTGTACCCCCCACCCCGATCAGGCTCCGTGCCCCGTCTCTGTAACCCAAGGGGAGTTTCTCCAACTCCTCCTTTAGGAACTGCAGTGGGTCTACAAGGGGAAAGAACTTCCCGGGTGGCACAAGTGGTAAAGAATCCGCCTGCCAAGGCAGGAGACATAAGAGACTCCATCCCTGGGTCAGGAAGATCCCCTGGAGGAGGGAATGGCAACCCACTCCAATATTCTTGCCTGGAAAATCCCATGGACATAGGAGCCTGGGTTGAAAAGAGTCAGACAGGACTGAGCAGTGGCAGTAGCAGGAGGGGAAGCCTGCTCCCCATTTTCCATCTGGGTGGGCTGACAACTGGAGAGCTGCTCCCTAATTGCCCCATCCACCCACTGCTCTCCTCGGATCCTCACGCCTCGTCCTGTCTGCTGCTCTCCAGGAACGATGCTAATGCTGGCCATTGTGCTGCCTCTGGTCTTGTTTCTGCTCCTCACCACCGTCTTCGTCTACACCTGGAAGAGCCACCCCTCTCTCTGCAGAAAGCTGGGTAGGAAAGACTCAGAGGCCGGCACGGATGTCTGCCTGGGTCTGTGCGCATCCAGATGGGGCCAGGGGCTGGAGGGAATATTCAGCTCCTTCAGGGCCAACACTTCTGCCCCTTCACACCCTCAAGACACCCAGCACTTGTCCCCAACACAGACATCACATCTAACCAGCCCCTTCACTCTGAGGCTGGAGATAAGGGTAATGACAGACTGATCATTCTGGGAACCCAGGGTGGGCAGTGCTATGCTGTGGGGTGGGGTGTGGAGGGGAAAACCTGGGGGTCTGAGGCCTGCCATTTCATTTTCTATTCCAGGATCCCTGCTCAAGAGGCACCCAGAGGTAATGGGGAGGCTAGGGAGGCAGCAAGGAGGGGCAGGAGACAGGGGAACAGGGGTGGGGGGCAGGCAGGAAAAGAATCTGCAGCTTCGACATCCATTTAATCATTCAACTCATAATTTATTGAGCACGCGATGTGCCAGGCACTATGGAAATAGCAGTGAGAAAAGCAAAGTCTCTACCCTCCCAGAGTTTCTTTCATACCAGTGGAGCAAGGATAAAGTTAGACGACTATGTATTAGGTGGTGACAACTGTTAAATATGGAGAAGGAAATGGCAACCCACTCCAGTATTCTTGCTTGGAGAATCCCGTGGACAGAGGAGCCTGGCGGGCTACAGTCCATGGGGTTGCAAAGAGTCAGACACGACTGAGCAACTGAGCCCAAATGCTAAATAAAGCATGCTGGGGTGGGGGTGGGGTGGGGACAGTGGCAGTGGCAAGCAGTGAGGGTATACTATCTTCGAGTGGGCAGAGAGAGCCTCTGTGATCAGCTGATATTTGAGCAGAGAGCTGAAGAAAACAGAGGGCCAGACTGTAGCAGGATGTAGCAGGGAAAGTGCTCCAGGAAGAGGAATGTCAAGTGCAAAGGCCCTGAGGCAGGAAGCTTGATGAGGAGGGTATGGAGCTGCCTAGGCACAGGGTGGGGGTGGGAATTAAAGAAAGATAGAGTTTGAGGCCCCCGTCCTTGGCTGGTTCTCGGCCTCTGTCCTGCAGGGAGACGAATCAAATCCTGCTGATGGAAACTGGGAGCCCCCAAGGTTCAACACACATGTTCCTGACCTGGTAAAGCCACTTCTGCCCACCCCTGGAGACTTGACCCTGGCCTCGGCAGGCGTCCCAGCGAACCCGAATTTGGAGGAAGAGGTGCTCCAACAGCAGAGTCCCCTGAGCCAGGCCAGGGACCTGGATGTTGAGCCCCCAGAACAAGGCCAGGTGGCCCACGGTGAGAAGGGGGACAGGGAGGGAGGGTGGGCAGGGGGAGGGCGTGTGAGCCGGGCAGAAAAGAGGAGATGGCAACAGCCAGTGTCCTGACTACAGAGAAGGGACGAGACTGAAAACCAAGAAAACGCAATGAACACAGCTCAGGAAACCAAAGAGCATGGAGAAGGAGGAAAGGGGAGATGGCGGATGGGGCCCTGGGGAGTCCCGTGCTGGCAACACACGGTGGCTCCCCTCAGCCTTGACACCTCGGCCCCTCACTCTGCCTTCCTTCCCACAGGCACCAATGGCATTCATGTCACCGGCGGCTCTATGACGGTCACCGGCAACATCTACATCTATAACGGGCCAGTCCTGGGGGGAGCCCGGGGTCCCGGAGACCCCCCCGCTCCCCCAGAGCCTCCGTACCCCATCCCCGAAGAGGGTGCCCCCCGCCCTCCCGGGTTCTCCATGCCCTACCAGGAGGATGGCAAGGCTTGGCACCTGGCTGAGACAGAGACACTGGGGTGCTACGCCCTCTGACAGGGCCAAGGACCCAAAGCGTCAGCCATGCCGGACGGTGTCTGGAGGAGCCAGGAGAAGGAAGGCTGCCCTCCCCACACAGGCCTGACTGAGGGCCTGGGAAGGGCCCCGAGAGCTGGACCCTGAGGGGCCAGGCCTCAGACATTGCCTCTCTGAGAGCAGGGCCGGCGCTGGCTGGGAACGGCGCCCCGGCAGGACTCTCAAGGCCACCTGAGCAGGCCCAGGACTTCCCTGCAGACTCCCTGCCCACGGGGGCTGCACCGGCTCGGCCTCAGGCACGGACAGGGCATGTGTGACCCTAACCGCTGCCCCCTGGCATTTGAATCCCAAGCCTGGCATGGAACGGAGCCAGCCACACGGTCACTCAAGGACTGGGACCCCCCTGGCAGAGTCATGGTGCTCAACATTCCCAAGCTTCAGAGGCCCTTTGAGGGCCCACACTTCAGTGGACGGAGAGAGACCCAACAAGAAGCCGGAGTGACAAGGAGGACCACCACCCTCCCCTCCTCGACAGGAAAGCGAGTCTCTCTAACCAAGGGCTTGGGTGGGGTTCGAGGTATAAGGGCGAGTTTTGGATGGGGAGGAAAAAAATTGGTGAGTATATTTATGAACTGTACCCACATACAAATAAAGAGGAGATTGAGACCCAGGCCATTGATTTCCTTGGGATTTATAGAGAAACGCGATTTCATTGGGGCCATGTCAAAGGCACAGGTCAAAACTATGGAATATAAAATGTTATCAGCTATAATCCCACTAGTTATTTGCGCGAGAGGCTGGTATATGGAATTCAGGTGAAGACAGTATTGGCCAACAATCTCTGACAATGTGGCAGTCAGTGTTCTCAATGCCATGCAACCTTACCTTATGCAGCCCTCACAAGACTCTCAGGAGGCAGGTATGAGGACTATTCCCATTTAGCATATAAGGAGACTGAGGCCCAGAGAGGGTAAGTCAGTTGCCCAGTTTAGCTGCACATGGTTGGGATAGGCCCTGTTAGACTGGCTCTAGAGTCCTGGTAGGTAAAAAAAGAGAATTTCTCTGAATAGATAAAATGGACTGGTTTTCTCAAATCAACAGACCTCCTCCATACCCCGCAGGCATGAAGTCCTCAGCCAACTCTCAAACCCCCAGGTTCAAAACAAAGTACAAAAGTGTCTGGCAAGGTTTTCTGTTTTGTCTGTTTTGCCACACTGTGTGACATGCAGCAAACCTCCCCAACCAGGGATCAAACCTATACCCTGCTTGGAAGCATGGAGTCATAGCCCCTGGAACACCAGAGAAGGCCGTATTTGGCAAGGTTGGGTGAAGGGAAAGATCCATGCTTTAGACATAAATTGAGAGGCCAAGTTCACATTCTGCTGATAAAGAGATGGAGGCCGGCCTCCTTCAACCAGAAGAAGCATCCTGACTTTTACTTTATTTCTTCTTGTCTTGCAGGCTTACCTCGCTACATTGTGGGTTTTTTAAAACAAATCGTGACAACCCTGAGTTATTGATGATGGTTAGCATTTTTTAGCAATAAAGTATTTTTAAATGAAGGCATGTAGGTTGGTTTTTAGACATAACGCTATTGCACACTTAATAGGCTGCAGTACAGTGTACATATAACGTTTAGATGTAGCGAGAAACCCCCTAAAATTCGTGTGACTCGCTTTATTGCAGTGGTCTGGTATCAAACCACAGCATCTCCAAATATGCTTGTATTTTCTTTTCTTCCCCCAAAGAACTCCAGATCTTCTCAGGCTCTCTTGTTGTTTGTAAATGTTTGGGGCCCCAGAATTTATCTACCGTGCTGCCCAGTAGAAACGGTCTCAGCTGGAAAGATTGAGAGGGGAGCTGCTGCAGCTGACTGCTCCTTCCATAAAAGGCCACCCTCTGGGTCTAATGTTATGACTGTTGCTGGGGCCCTTCAAGGTGGGGAAGCTCCAAGGCACACACTCTAGGAGTCTTCTGATCCAACCCAGCAGATGGGTTATTTAAGGTTGACCTTGAGAGTATTAAATCCAACTTCCTTTTTTGAGCAGTAAATAATGTGAGCTGTATTTTTAGACAGAGAATGAAAGCCTCCTGCTCTTGCCATAGCCTAGAGCCAGACATCATGATTCCTTAATTGTTGTTCCATGGTATTTAGATTTTTTAAAAACTATACATTTTCTTTAATAAAAAATAAAAAAATAAAAAATAAAAACTATACATTTTTTTAAACAAAATAAAAGGAGGAAACTTTTTTTTAAGAAATGGTGCCAGGAGTGAGGAGGAAAGTTTCAAGAGGGAGGGACTATATATATATATATATATATATATATATATATATATATATATATACACTTATGGCTGATTAACATTGTTATATGACAGAAGCCAACACAACATTGCAAAGAAGTTACCCAATTAAAAAAAAAAAACTTAATGAATAAATCTGGTCCCTTCTCTTCATGGCAAATATATGGGGAAACAATGGAAATAGTGAGAGACTTTATGTTTTGGGCTCCAAAATCACTGCAGATGGTGACTGCAGCCATGAAATTAAAAGGCGCTTGCTCCTTGGAAGAAAAGCTATGACCAACCTAGACAGCGTATTAAAAAGCAGAGACATTATTTTGCCAATAAAGGTCTATCTAGTCAAAGCTATAGTTTTTCCAGTAACCATGCATGAATGTGAGACTTGAACTATAAAGACAGCTGAGCAGTGAAGAATTGATGCTTTTGAACAGTGGTGTTGGAGAAGACTCTTAAGAGTCCCTTGGACTGCAAGGAGATCCAACCAGTCAATCCTAAAGGAAATCAGTCCTGAATATCATTGGAAGGACTGATGCTGAAGTTGAAATTCCAATGCTTTGGCCACCTGATGCGAAAAACTGACTCACTGGAAAAGACCCTGATGCTGGGAAAGATTGAAGGCAGGAGGAGAAGGGGTCGACAAAGGATGAGATGGTTGGATGGCATCACTGCCTCAATGGACATGAGTGAGCAAGCTCCGGGAGTTGGTAATGGACAGGGAAGCCTGGTGTGCTGCAGTCCATGGGGTCGTACAGTCAGACACGACTGATCAACTGATCGACTGAACTGAACTGAATAAATAAAAGGGAAACATTTCTTCTAGATGTTTTACAGTTCCACTTTTTAAATTTATGCTTATGAGCCTTTTTGTGTGTGTGTAAGGTATGTGTTGAAGTATTTGGTCTTTGCATATAAATGTCTAATTATTCCAGCACCATTTGTTAAAAAGACTGTTCTTTCTCAGTTGAATTATCTTTGTTTCTTTGTCAGGTCAGTTGATAATATTTGTGCCACTTTATTTCTGGACTCTTTGCTGACTTCATTGGCCTGTGTCTATCCTTCTGCTAACATCACAGTCTTGACTTCTGTAGCTTCCTAAGTCTTGAAATTGGGTGATGTAATTTCTCCAATTATTGTTCTTTTTTTAGTCCCTTTCAGTTTCTTTTCCGCATACATTTTAGAATCCACTTGTCAATATCTTTAAAAATAAAAGAAAAAAAACCTGCTGTGATTTTTGAGTGAAGATGATTGACTCTATGATTCAAATTGGGGAGAACTGACATCTTTACAATATTGAGTTTTCCGACCCATAAACATATCTTTCCATTTATTTACATCTTTTTTTATTTCTTTTAACAGTGGTTTGTAGTTTTCAGCATACAGATCCTACACATAAGTTTTGTATGCAAGATCTGTACTTTATGGAGAGAGGAAGCTACTATAAATTGTATTTTTAAAATTTCAAATGTTAATTGTGTGTCTCTGATATATGGAAATATGATTGACTTTTGTATATTGGCCTTGTATCTTACAACCCTGTTAAACTCACTTCTTAGTTTTAGGAAGCTTTTTGTAGATTAATAAACAGTCATGTTGTCTTCAAAAAAACAGTTTTCTTTCTTTCTAATCTGTATGCCTTTTACTTGTTTTCTTCACTTATTACACTGGCTGGGCTTCCCTTGTGGCTCAGCTGGTAAAGAATCTGCCTGCAATGTGCGAGACCTGGGTTCAGTCCCTGGGTTTGGAAGATCCCCTGGAGAAGCAAAGGCTACCCATTTCAGTATTCTTGCCTGGAGAATTCCATGGACTGTATAGTCCATGGGGTCGCAAAGAGTCAGACATGACTGAGTGACTTTCACTATTACACTGGCTATCTCGTATGATATCTTGTATGATATTGAGTAGGAGTTCTGGCCAACAGACTCCTTACAGCAAATTGATGAGATCTGTCAGAGCATTTATACTGAGTATAGCATTAATAGGACAGATTTTTTTAGGTTTATGGAATAACTATACTAACTATACTATGCATGCTTAGTCGGTCAGTTGTGTCTGACTCTTTGCAACCCCATGAACTATAGACTCCTCTTGTCCATGGGACAACAGACTGTCTTTTACAGACCAAATGGTCTGTAAAAAAATGGTCAAGACAGTCTGTTGGGCCAGGGTACAGGCCCTTTCCCATGCTGAGTCCAGCATTATCCAGTGCTATTGGTTGAGTTTGCCTGGCCCACTTTGCCAAAGCCTCATTGTTTTTCCAAGCTGACTCACATCATTTGCTTTGCTCCTGAGAACTCCTTTCGCTCTGCCTAGCGTAATTAATAAATCTTTTCTTCTGAATGTCATCCTTCATTAAAACAAACTCCAATTTGTCCCAGGACATCTAGACCAGCACCAATGTCCCCTAAGGCCTTTACCCGTCCTCTGGGCCAGTCCACTGTACATGTTGTTGCCTTTGGGTACTAATGACCCCTGTGCAGTTAGGATACATGTTTTGCATCCAAAAACATTGGGTACCCCACACAGGGGTTAGGTGAGTGTGGCTCAGTGGTAAAGAACCTGCCCGCCAATGCAGGAGATGCAAGGGATGGTGGGTTTGATCCCTGGGTTGGGAAGACCCTCTGCAGGAGGAGGAAATAGCAACCTACTCCAGTATTCGTGCCTGGTGGGCTACACTCCATGGGGTCACAAAGAGTCAGACATGACTGAGCACACAC